TAAAAGAAGCATGGCTTTACCACAATAGACGAAATGCGCGCGCGCTTGTGTGTGCATGTTTGTATGGCGCGCAGGTTGTTGTTTTCCCGCTGCATGGTGATTTCATAATTCCCACATCACACATTTACACGATGACAGACATGTTGCTGATTACTGGAAGCTTCGCCAATCTAAATATTTTTAATTATTCACGAACTATTGTAAGGTCCTATAAACTGGTGATCAGTCAAGAGGCATGAATGCGTATTGTTCAGCATGTTTTCCAGACACAACAGAAGTAGGATGTCTCCTTGAGTAGCTATTTTCGAATCATTTTTTTAGCAAATAACGTACTACTCGCGCCACGCATTCAATTAAAATAACTTGGGTGATGTTGATATCAACGCATTTTTACAAAATGGAGGAGATGGTTAGGGACGCATTAGCAATGCAAATGACGTTTTGAAGAGCACTGGCACCTGCTGTCTCAGGCATTTGCATCGGCTTTTCCCTCGTTTCTCATTAGAATTGGGTTCTACTTCTGCAATGCAAGGTTTGAGCCCACACTTAGGGATTTGTCAAGGAAGCTTCTCCAACTCTCTTCTCTTGCGTTTGCATAACAAAGGGGAAGGGTTTTGTTCATGAAAAGAGGGGACAAAACCGTCAAGCCTCAATTGTCCCAGTGTCAGTCGGATGGGCAAGCAGGGTCTTGTGTCCCATCAGTAAACAGTTTAAGTCACGGCAAAATCCAATTAAGCCATGTTCTTTCCATCAGGCTTTTCACAAGGCAAAGAATATTGCTTCTGTTTTTTATGCTACTGTACTCATTTTACGGTGCATAGTCATATGGTTCTTTGAATAAATCAATTATGTAACTATTTCACATGTGGTTTCACCTCTAGCATCTTAGACCAAATATACAATGTATAATAATTTCAAATTCTCAAGTGGGTCATTCAGAGGAAGCATTGAATTGCTTTAGGCATCAAGATAGCTTGACGTAAGATCATATTTGTAATCACAAAAGAATTCTCTGTGTAGAAACAAAACCAGCCCCAGTGTTAAACGACATGAGTTGACTCCGGTTGAAGAGTTTAGAGGTTTATAAGATAATTTTTTTTTTAAATGGGTTTAATAAGCTAAATTGTAGAAATAAGATAAGTTTCAAGCACTGTAAAAAAAAAAAAAAAACATTTCTCATATGCTGATACATACAGCCAATTAAACACTGATTGTTGTCTCCTCTCCTTCTAGCTTTGAGGTCCATCTTCTCTACACGGAATATGATGCAGAATTGCCTAATTCTTATGGAAATACGTTGGATAGGAACACTCTCAGAGCTGTTGGCTGATCATCAATGAACTCAGTTCCGTAAAGAACGGAAGGAAATAAGTATTTTTTTTCAGTGAGAAATTCCTGATAGTGGGAGATTTTGTTTTCGGATATGGCGGCAACTGAAGCCACTGCAGAGCCTGTCCAAGTAGACATTGTTGAGAATAAAGCTGAGGTGGAAACCACAAAGCCAGACCCAGCTTCAACAGAGGAAGCCCCAGCATCAACAGAGGAAACGCAGCCTACTACTGAGGCACCGCCAAGCACAGAGCAGCCAGCTGATAGCAAATCCAAACCAGCCTCTGAAAAAATATGGGACTCTTTTTTAAATAAAAGTGGGCTTGGAAAAGTAATGGGAGGGAAGAAGAAGAAGGAACAGCATACAGGAGCTGAGGATACTACAGGCGAGGAGCAGGATAAGATCTCCAATCAAAATGATCAAGGGGATACTGCAGGCCCTAAAGAACAGGAATCTAGTCAGCCAGCAGAAGCTAACGAGGCTGCAGCTGATGGGCAGACTATTGAAAAAGCCCCAGAAAATGAGGAGGCTTCCCAAGAGCAAAAGGCATCTGGTGCCAAGCCAAAGCAAGGAGAGAAGTCCAGTGTCAGAGATTTCATTCGCAATCCTGTCGCTAAAATCTTCTCACACAAAAGCACAGACAAAAAGGATGGTACAGAGGGGCTCCAAAAACATGACAAGGTTCGGTCGAAATCACTAGACAGACTTGAGGATGCTGACGTCAGCACAACTGTGGCTGACCAAACAGAGGAGCCTCCGACCACAGACGAGCCAGACAAGTCTAACCCCCAAACAACAAAAAACATGAAACGCTGGCACTCTTTTAAGAAACTTATGGCTCAAAAAAGTCACAAGAAAAGCACAGATGAGTCCAAGGATGCTGAGGGGGCAGATGGAACAAGTGCAGATGGAGCAGGAGACACTGGGACATTGGATTCCACAACAAAGTCAGAGCAATCTGGGCAAAAAAGGTGGAAATTGAAGAGATCTTGGACATTCCAAGGTCTGAAGAGAGATTCATCAGTTGTTGGAATCCACAAACCAAAGGACAAAGACTCTTCAGATGTAAAGGATGAAAATGACCCAGAGGCAGAACAGGGGATGGAAGATGTAAAGGTAGCCAGTGACGTAGAAACACAGGAGAAGACTAATGCTGACGTTGATGAGGAGAAAGGGGCAACTGCTACTACACAGCATGCAAAATCTGTGGACCAGCATGCAAACGAGATCTGGACCTCTTTCAAAAAACGAGTTATTCCCAAGTCAAAGAAGGCAGCTGACACTGGTGGAGTAGAGGAGGAAGCAGCGGGTGAGCAAGAGCAGACTGATGAACCACAGGCGGGTAAAGACTCAGGCAAGACAGCCAAGGCAAAAAGGACACACTTCAACCGTGCTGTGTCACTAAAGAACTTCATACTGCGAAAGGGGAAGGGTACCAGCATGGACATGGGGGAGGGTACAACAGCCCAGAAAGATGGCGATGATACTGCTGAGAGAGAGGCTAAAAACATGGATGGCCTTGATGATGCAGCTGGGTCAACCGATGTCCCACAGACTGGATCAGAGGAGCAGACTGTGGCTCAGAGTGAGAGCAATAATGAAGCTCAGGTGGTAGGCGAGCACAAGAGTTCTGATGGAGAGGAGAGGTCCCAAACTAGCGCACCATCTGCTCAGCCATCAGACAAGCCTCATGCAGCAGATCCAGCACCAGAGGGTGGAGGCCAGGCAGAGCCAAAAGCCAATGGTGAGAATGGATGTTCAGATGCTACATCAGAGGACACCGCAGCACACAATCATGAAGCAACAACCCAGAATGATGTGAAGGATGAGGAGACCAACCAGGAGACCATAAACTCTAGTGGCAAAACTTGTCCGAAGGATGGGAAAATCCTAAATCAAGATGGGAAGTGCGATACTGTCAATGCAGTTGTCCAAAGCGGTGAGTGTCAAGCCCCAATTGACTCGAGAGATCTACAGCAAATTGGAAATGACAAAGCTGAGTCTAAAGTAGGACTAGGCACTAGTGTTGAGGTAGAGACCAGGGGGGATGGGGCCCCTCAATGTGGAGGGTCCCTTTCTGGGTCAGCAAAGACCAATGCAGATGAACAAGAGGAGGCCTTGAAGAGGATGTTCTATGAGGTTGCAGCTTCCATCGTGCGTGCAGTTGTATCCTCAGCCACTGAACAGTTAGCCAAGGAGAAGAAGCCTCCGGACAGTAGTTTGCAGTGTTTCCAGCCTGAAAATAATAGCAGTTATACAGATATTGACGACAGTTACTGTCACAGAGAAGTTACTTTAAATCAGGGATCCCTGTATTGATCCTCAGCATCTGTGTTTGTGGGGCTGGGGAACATGTTCTGGTGTTGTGGACACATGTCGAAAAGTTATTGTTCATCACCCCTTTAAAAAGCTGTGAATTTCAGGGTCAGTGAATTCAAAGGAAGATATAGGTGCTTTAATTGAGCTGTTGTGAAGTTACCCAAAGTACCAGTTTGTGTATATTCAGGAAGTATTCTCTACCTATAACAATTATAGCATGTCTCAATGTTAATGTGGATCCAATAATAATTCATTGTTCTTGAGGTGGAGGATTTTCACATGCAGTTGTGTAGTGTTTGCTGTTCTGTATTCTAAAGTCCACAAAATGTGTTTTTGGTGAACCTAAATGACCTCTTCTCTGTGACAAAAAAATGTGTGAATAATTGAATATTAAAATGAAAGTTTTCAATGTAGAAATATATTGTAATATATTCTGAAATCTCTTCTGTTATTATTTACCAGAAAAAAAGGCGGGAAACGTGTGATGCCACACAAAGAGGATTAGATCTGCATGGGATTCGTTCAGCGAGGAGCTTTGCCCCCCTCCCCCCCAAAATATGGAGTAATCACATGTTTACGCCACGATTCACCATGGTGAGAGATGCAATCCACATAGTAAAAAAAAATATCTTGAAAAGCAATAATTCAGATTCATCAATCAGTGCAGTTCTTGCTACCATTCCATCATTGTAAATGTTTTGCCTGTCTACTAGTGAGATTTTATATTGTCATAAACGACATTCCTTTGAAATGTTAATCTCAGTGATCACAAAGTACCGTGATCATAAAGACTGTTAGTTTTATATTAATTGCCATTATGTTTGTAGTTTTCCTTTGACTAAATATATGTGATACAGACACATTTAAAATAACAGCCCGCCAGACTGCTCCCCGAATTGTGAATTCAATACGGAACGTTCTCTAATCTCTGTGTTTTTGTTTTTAGACTGTTATCTTGTGTACATGAATAAACCACCATTAAACATTAAGTAATTCTCTGGGTTTTCTTGCAGGTTATGACATCCTTTGCCATTTACAGATTTTAGAAAAGAAATGCTCACTAATTAGCATGCAATCCAACAGAATTTATTTACATTACCAGTCAAAAATTTGGAAACATTACAATTGTTAAATGTTTTTGAAAATTCTCTTTCGGTCACCACCAAGGCTGCGTTTATTTAATCAAAAATACAGTAAAAACAGCAAAACCGTGAAGTAATTATTACAATTTATTGTTTTATATTTGAATAAATTAAAAAATGTAATTTGTTCCTGTGATGACAAAGCTTTATTTATAATGGATGCTTTGACTGGAATTTCAATATCTCACTTTCATCCCCAACATATTTCCATTAAGCTCAGATGATTATGACTGTCGCATCTTTGAGCACCATAATGTTATCAACTATTTACACTAATTGGCCAAGATCATGCTATTAGCACGTTAACTGCAGATTAACAGAATGCCTAGCAACAGGTTTTGGTGCAGCATTTCCCTATAGCTTACACAGGGTAAGGGTTAATGAAGAACTGTGGAAGTATTAACAGATAATGAGCTGACTTAACAGGGACAAAACAGGACAGAGATATTGAGACTGTATTGGCAAGCGGGTGAAACTGACACTCTGCATGACAGACTTTTGAATGTGGCTTTGAGATGAAAATGAAATCAATACCTATTGACAACACAACTCGGGTGGACTTAGCATATGTTGTCAAATCAGGTCAATGATAATACCTTTTTTATATATACTGTTTTTTTTTTTTTGCTATTAAAAATACTTCACTTTCCAATGAGCATCTGGTTCAAGGGTGGAAAAGAGATTTTACAAAAAGAGAGATGAGCTTGGATCAATTGGGGAAAAAAATAACCTTTGCCCTTTGTTTTAGACCGACACATCTTGTAACCTCATTTTCCCTCACCATCTAACTTTACCCATGAAGCCAGAGGTTTTATTAACTATGACAGAGCATTAAAAACTCACGTTAGATAAATCCACTGAAAGGCAATCTGCTTAAATGGTCCACAGGCCAGTAAGATGGCACTTTATGGCCACTTTTACTGAAAATACCAGCTGCAGGTCACAGAGGTACTCTTAATCTATGAAAGCATATTGACGAATTAAAGAAAACCAGAAAAGAGTGCTTTCATCTGACATGTTTTCCCATCTTTATGTGATTAAGAGGATTGCGGTGCAAAAGCCTCTTAGTAAAAGAGCACAATGCACAAACTAATGTTTTTTAATCACAGTCTGTGCTTTAGATATGTAAACAACAGTCAAAGGCAATTTACAGTTATGTTTTAAGAAACTCTGACACCATATTATCTGAGAAAATATAAATACAAACAGGCAATTAAAAATAAAACAAAAAGTCCTTTAGTGCATTACCCTCAACGCCCCACATATTTACAGACGTTGCTTATGAAAAGCTCATTGTAGGATAAAGCAGTTGTGCATTGTCATACACATTATATACACAAATGCATACATCTTCATGGATTTACTCCATTTTGGACATCTCAAATTTCGTAGTCATGATCTCCTGGGGGAGGAAAGAAAGACAAAACCATGAGAGGAAATCTTTTAAACAATGGGGCAAATGAGACATTTAAAAAGGCTCGAAATTCTCGAAATAATCAACACGGTTACATAAACGCCTTTAAAAGCCTGCGTGTATTGTAGCATGTAATCTCTGATCTGCTCTTTAAGGTTAGTTCACCCAAAAATGAAAATTCTGTCAGTATTTACACACCCTCATGTTGTTCCAAACCTCAATGTGTTTATTTGTTCTGCTGAACACAAAGGAAGATATTTAGAAGGATGTTTTAATCAAACAGATCTCATTCCCCATTGACTACCACTGTATGTGTTTTTTCCTACTATGGTAGTCAATGGGGAATGAGATCTGTTTGATTAAAACATTCTTCCAAATATCTTCCTTTGTGTATAGCAGAACCAATAAACACATAGAGGTTTGGAACAACATGAGGGTGAGTAAATACTGGCAGAATTTTAATTTTTGGGTGAACTAACCCTTTAAGAGATTTGTCTGTTTTGGCTGCGGTTCGAAATGAACATGTCCAATGTTAGCTTTAGCGAGGTCTTATTAGTCAGACAAAACCTCAGCGCTCCTTTGTTCCAAGCAGAAAGAAAACAACCGACGGAGAGGGAGCGAGGGTAAACACTGTGACGTGACAGGCCGATTGCTCTCCGTGTTCTACTTTGAAAGCTCAAATGGCGCCCACTGCTGGCCTATCAGAGTACGAGACACTTACCTCGTCTGAGTCTAGCAGAGGCGGCAGTGCGCTGCAAAACAAAGAAAAGGACACGTCAATGACACGGCAGTAATTGCTATTAGATTTACAGGCAAACTGCTGGTGTCTGGCCGTACAAATAATCTAAAAAGTGAATTCCTTTTAGAAAATAACCAGTTATTTTTTCATTCTAACCATAATTTCTGTAAAAATATGATTTTATATGATCTTACACATCAGCCATCGATGAGGGAATGTTCTCCTCAACCCATTTGAGATCTTCATCCTGTTGTGACCACAAAATTTACAAATTTAACATTGGGGAAATGCAGCACATCTGGGAATACACAATAATGAGTGATTGTTTTCTCACAACGTGGTGTTTTATATCTTTCTTAAAGGGTTAGTTCACCCAAAAATGAAAATTCTGTCAGTATTTACTCACCCTCATGTTGTTCCAACCCCGTAAGACCTTCGTTCATCTTCGGAACACAAATTAAGATATTTAAGATATTAAGATCGCTCCTGCATACAGTCCATAGGCTTCTTGAGGGACTGGCTCTTGCTGTCCTCGAAAAGTCATTAAAGACATCGTTAAAATAGTCCAAGTGACAGGGGCTCAATCTTAAGTTTATCAAACGACGAGAACACTTTTGTGCGCAAAAAAACAACAAAATAACGACTTTATTTCAACTATTCGTTTATTTCTCCCTCTGCGCGAGTCAGGTTACTAGTTTAATAGCGTAAGCTTCTGTTATTGTACGTCACACGCATCACACACATGACCAGCGTCGGCCAATAGTGAGCCTACGTGTGACGTAGCTCTACGCAATCACACTACGTTAACTGACTTACAGGCTCATGGAGAAGGAAGTGAATAGTTGAAATAAAGTCGTTATTTTTGTTGTTTTTTTGCGCACAAAAGTGTTCTCGTCGTTTGATAAACTTAAGATTGAGCCCCTGTAGTCACTTGGACTATTTTAATGATGTCTTTAATGACTTTTCGGTGACAGCAAGAGCCAGTACCTCAAGAAGCCTATGGACTGTATGCAGGAGCGATCTTAATATCTTAAATATCTTAATTTGTGTTCCGAAGATGAACAAAGGTCTTACGGGGTTGAAACAACATGAGGGTGAGTAAATACTGACAGAATTTTCATTTTGGGGTGAACTAACCCTTTAAGGCATTCCTATGGCAATACAACATGCTTATTGTCAGTAAAACTATTAATTTTTTATGCCAAGTATTTTTGTATATTACCACTTTGCTGAGTTTTGCACTTCCGTTGGTCTCTTGTTTTATCCCTCTCATTTTCACACCCTCTGTAGATTCAAGCATAACTGGTTAGAACTGGCTAAACACAGTCAAGCAAACAAAGGCTGATAACCAAACATGGAGACATGATATGCAGCATTCAAGCGTGCTGATGAAATTGTTGAAACTGTTTAAGCAAGAACTAAATTCAGCATGAAATGCAAATAGATCTCATTATGAATGATTCACCCATGAATACGTTTCAATTTTAAAAGGGGTCATATAATGGTATATGCACTTTTACAGAAATGTGTGTTGGCAGTGCCTGTACACAATCATCATATGATGATAAAAATCTATATTTTTAAAGTAGAGTATATTACAAACTTTTCATTTAGACCCTAAAGAATCAAATTAACTTATGAAAATGGCATTATATGACCCCTTTAAGAAAATTTGTGAAAAATTTCAACTGAATATACCAATCTTCATCTAGTCTGCTTAAACTCCACACCTGCAAGCTCAAGTTTATCTGCCTCCACTTTTGAGCATAACACCCACATTCCACAATCAAATCATCAACCAATGAACATAATCAATACCTCACTACTTTTCTTTTTTGATAATCTGTTACACTCGGATGTATATCACAATACAGAAGAAAAGATCCGTCGCTATTTCATTGTGACTTTAAATCAAATACATCATATATTAAAAGATCCCATCATCTTTAAATACAGGCCACTTCTTGTGTCTCACACCTAATTGGTCAATTAAAACTCTTACCGAAGGCTTCATTCATTAGCTGCTCCTCCTCTTCCTCGCTAACTTCATCCACCAGTGGACTGAAGGCATACCTGAAGGGTTCAGAATGAGAGACTTATGATCTTGTCTCCATAAGCTGAGTTTACAAACGGGGTTGACACATGGATAGAGGTGAAGTGCTTTACCTCTGGTTGTTCGCTGAAGGCCTCCATAAGAAAATAATGACGAGCAGGATACTAGAGAACAGGAAGCGCCAGAAGGCATCATCTATCCACAGCTCTCTCCAGTCCTACAGTTCATGGCAAATAGGTGTCAAACAAATATATTGAACTAAAAAGACAGAAGAGATATTTATTACATGTAACAAGAGAATGCTCACAGATTGGCACTTGGTTAACTTGAAGGTCTTTGTCGTCCACACAATGAATATAACAGATGCTGAAAGAGAATCAGAATTTTATTATGAGAACATGGGGCCAAAAAAGAAAAAGCCGCAAAATAATTCTATTTGCATACACTTCCAATCAAAAATTTGGAGTTGGCACGATTTTTTGGGGATTTTTTTAAAGTCTCTTACACTCAAAGGCTGCATTTATTTTATCAAAAATACAGTCAAATATAATAGAATTGGAAATCATCATAATTAGCTGAGATTTGGTGCTCAAGAAACATTTCTTATTATTATCAATGTTGTGGAAACCATTCGGCCACTTTAATAGACACACCCATTCAGCCAATCACATGACACCAACTTAATTAATTTAGGCATGTAGACATGGTCTGCTGGAGTTAAAACTGAGCATCAGAATGGGGAGAAAAGGTGATTGTGAGTGACTGAACATGGCATGGTTGTTGGTGCCAGACAGGCAGGTCTGAGTATTTCAGAAACTGCTGATCTACTGGGATTTCCTTACACAACCATCTCTAGGGTTTACAGAGAACGGTCCGAAAAAGAGAAAATGTCCAGCGAGCGGCGGTTCTGTGGCTGAAAATAACTTGAGAATGGCCAGACTCAAATAACCACTTGTTACAACATGTCAAACCTTGAAGCAGACGGGCTAGGGCTACATTTACATTTATTCATTTAGCTGACGCTTTTATCCAAAGCGACTTACAATTGCTATATATGTCAGAGGTCGCACGCCTCTGGAGCAACTAGGGGTTAAGTGTCTTGCTCAGGGACACATTGGTGTCTCACTGTGGATTCGAAACCCGGGTTTCTCACACCAAAGTCATGTGTCGTATCCACTGCGCCATCACCACCCCAGTGGTCCAGTGGCTACACTAGCAGAAGACCACCAGGTGCAACTCAATTCACCACCAGGTGTGGCTACAATTCACACGGGCTCACCAAAATTGGTTGCCTGGTCTGATGAGTCTTGATTTCTGCTGTGAAAGTCAGAATTTGGAGTAAACATCAACGGTTCAGGTGGTGAGGGGGATATTTTTTTTGTTACAATTTGGGGCTCATAGTACCGACTGAGCATCATTTAAATGCTACAGCCCACCTGTGTTGTTGCTGACCATGCCAATCCCTTTATGACCACAATCTTTCCATCTTCTGATGGCTGCTTCAGGATAACGCACATGTCATAAAGGTTACTATTCTCAAATGGCCTGATCTCAATCCAATAGGGTAACTTTGGGATGTGTTAGAACAGAAGGAGATTCGCATGATGGATGCGTCATCCGAAAAGCAATTGTGTGATGCTATCATGTCACTGTGGACCAACACCTCTAAAAAATGAATCTATGGCATGTAGAATTAAGACAATCACTAAGGCAAAAGGAGGTCTAACCCAGTACTAGCAAGGTATTGGGAGGGATAGGCAAGTCCTGTCCTGCAGAGTTTAGCTCCAATCCTGAACACATTTTAATAAATTGAGCATGCTTTCTGAATAAAAGTAATATATATATATATATATATATATATTTTTAAAAACATACTGACCCCAAACTTTTGAATGGTAGTGCATCATGAAGGGAATATCAGTGCATGCAAGTGATACATTTTTTAGTAGCAAGAGAGAGAGACATAGACTGAATGTCCCCAATTACGGCTCACTTTCCATTAATAAATCATGTAACCCAGATGTTTGACAGACCAATCATAATTCAGTCTGCATTGAAAGGATTACAGTACTGTATTGAAATGCCTAAATACCAGTGATTAATGTCAAAGACACTTCACACAATAGTGTAGTAGTGTGCAGTGCGTGCTCACCAATGATAGCGAATATGAGTGTGTTGGTGAAGTGTCGGTACAGGGACAGCTTGACCAAGTTTCTCCTCAGCCGAAGGAGCTTCATCGTCTGGGCCAGGCTAATGAAGATGTGACTGAGTGTCAAGGACTATATATCTGATCAGTAGAGCTCAGTAACTTCCTAATGTTCATAATCTAAATCAGACACAGAGAACTGTAAAGTCTTCCTGACCCACTGGCTGTAACATAGAGGAGTTTGTCCTTTAGGTGAGTCAAGCGTTATGAATGGAGAAAATATAGGGAATCACAAAGGGAAGGAGGACAAATAGGGCGATTAATAGCGAGAGAGAAAGAGGGACACACACAAGCAGCATTGGAGAAACGTAGGATATCCACCAGCAGAGGGTAGAGTCGAGAACAGCCAAGGGGATGGCAGCCAGCAACACCAAGTCATCTTCAGCCTGGCAGAACAATACATGGGAAGAGAGAGGGAAAGACAGAGAGAGCCAGAGAGAGAGAGAAGAGTAGCACCGTCACACACACCACCATCAGAGGGTCCTAAAGAGGGCTGGACGACTGCCTTTATCAGATATTCAGAACCTATTTAACCCAACACATTTATTTACTTGCTCAGAGATGGCTTGAAAGGCTGACTTTTTTCAAAGGAACTATCCATTCAATTTAATTCAACCAAATATTTACCAAAATGATTAATGCAAGAAGCACAGTAATGAACATACACAAATGAGATTTAATAATATCCATGAAACGACAGTATACTTTCATCCAAACGGTGTGTGATCAAATATATTTTTTAAAGGTCTCCTGACATTAAATTTTCACTTTCTGAGGTTTTTTTTTTTTAACATTAATACGAGTTCCCCTAGCCTGTATATGGTCCCCCAGTGGCTAGAAATTTCAATCGGTGTAAACCAAGCTTTGTCTATCTTTCTCTGCCTTTGAGAAAATGAAAGCTCAGACGTGCTGATGTTGAATCTCCTCGTGTATGCCGTCATACAGAGGAAAGGTTACCCAAGTTAACATGATGGTGTTCATTAGTCACACTAACATTTCAATGAATTTTAATTAATTCAATGAAATGGTATAACCGTTCAGAATGTGCTGGTTTATGTATAACAAATGCAATATCCATATACAGAATTGTTACATTAATAATAAACTAAATCCTAAGGACTATTGCAGATGTAGATGACCAGTAAACTTGCTCTTTCAAGTGGTCATGGACCAGATTTGACTGTTGCAATATGGCGGACGGATTACGTAGCAGCCTGTGAGGCATTGGTGAAAATATACCCATGAAATAAATAGCATTTCAGAAATCGAGTAGCGTTAAATTCCTATGTGGTTTCTTTTTATATTGCAATTGAAATGATCTCCATATTTAATACATCGCCCAGCCCTAGTTATAAATGCTAACTTTGCAACCATCATTCAGTCCAACAAACGCAGGTTTATGTCATGCTACTAGCTTGGAAGAAAGACTGAAAATGGGGAAAAAAAGATATTCCACAAAGGCTTTATCTCAACTGTACGCCACCACCAACACAAGTGCCAAAAGAATCCGAGAAGAGCAATGAGAGACTCAGATGTCCATAACATAGCATCCCAAAAAGAATTGCACAGAGTACTGTACGCATTGTCACTGAAGCAGAAAAAAAAAAAAATTTATAAGTTCAACCCTGTTGAATCTGCTGTAATTTCCATTTATCTGTCCTGAACTACACCATGCAGAAGTCACTGTAATAACACCACAAAATGAACATTACTATGACACAATCTTAACAGATGACCGACTTGTGAAAGGATATCCACCACACAACACAAGAATCAATGAGGGCCATAACAATGTCACAAAGCAGCCTGCTTGAACCACCGTGCTCCTGCGAGAGAGAAACATTAAGCTTCACATGACATGTGGTGCAACAGCATCATGTTAAATTACAAGGTTTGCCACAAAGGAGGACATTTTTCTCCACTAGTCACTATTTATTATTGTGTTTGGACTCAGCGGTGAGACTCTCCTTACCGTGTTGACTCTCAGGACGCCCTCTATGATGGAGAAGATAAGGTAGAGCAGTCCTACTCCCACTACCCTGTGCAGCAATGCTCCTAGTCTTGGCCTGCAGCAAAAAGGCAGAGTTGCTGAATGGGTAAATTTATAGAAGATTACTCTCATAGTAAATGCTTTGTTGCAATTGAACTCCAATTAACTGCAAATAGCATTACACTTAGGGATGCACAATATATCGGCTACCATTTTGGTATCGACTGACACACGTTTATATTTTATGTTACTGTTATCGGCCTGATATATTAAAGGAGTAGTTCACTTTTGAAAAAACTTTTGCTGATAATTTACTCACCCCCCATGTCATCCAAGATGTCCATGTCATTCTTTCTTCAGTCGAAAAGAAATTAAGGTTTTTGATGAAAACATTCCAGGATTTTCTCCATATAATGGACTTCAATGGGAACCAAACGGTTCAAGGTCCAAATGAGAGTCAGTGCAGCTTCAAAGGGCTTTAAACGACACCAGACGTTTTATAAGCACAAATGGTCGCCTTGCTCTGTTCTGTGATGAGCGTTCGTGGCTCTCCTGTTCAAACGCGTTCATCAAAATGAACAAATCTTTTTTCGAGTCATGACTCAATAGATTCTTATTCATCATCTGGCGTTGTTTAAAGCCCTTTGAAGTAGGGATGTCCCGATCCGATCCACGGCATCGGTATCGAGCCGATACCGGCCCAGAACGCTAGATCGGAGATCGGAGGGGAGAAAAAAATATGAGCGATATCCAGTTTAGCGGCGCAGCCTGTCACGTGATGATTGTTGTGTTTACGCACACGCGCGCAGAGAATCACTCTCGCTTTGCGTGTCAAGAGCGAAACTGGCGCGCGTAAAGTTTGAAGCGAAATTTACGCGCGTGACGCGCGTCAGAATCAAAATCCGTTGGCGGTCATTGTTTTTATGTCGACCGAGCATTCATCAAGAGAGTTACCGCTCTGTATTTACTCTGGATAGCAGAACAGCGGCGTGGGGATCATCGTCGCCGTATATTTGTGTCCACCGGACCCTTCGGAGCCAAACCGTTTGGCGAGTTTCACCATTTGCTCGCTCCAGGAGCTGCGCTGGATGACGGCCGCTGTCAGCGGTACTTCCGCCTGTCACGCGCCCAGTTTGATGACCTGTTGTCCCGCATCTGAGCGAGGATCACCCTCGCCCGGCCCCTCATCCATCTAATCTAGCTGTCATTTATTTTTGTTTTGATAATAAATAGAGCCAGCCTTCAAAAGTTATTAACCTGTCCTGTGATTTTTTTCTCTCTCTCACGTCCAGACACGAATTTATGCACATATGTTGATTGTCTTTACAACATAATACTATTTCTAGATATGGAATGAATAACATTCAATACAAAATGAACATGTCTCCATATAGAAATAATGTTTTAAGTGATGAAACATTTGCTTTGTTGTGCATAATCCCACCATGCATTTAGTCATATTAACAAAATAATTTATTGAAGCATCCAGACACTTCACCACGTGAGCAAGCAGCTAGGCTCCTGATTGGTTAACGCGGCGCGAATTCACGCCAAAGTTCAGCCAACTTGACGCGCGAATGAGGCGTATTCGCGTCTTCCGCGCCGCGCTCCACGCCTCATTCGCGCCGCAGGAATTTTTCTTGCATTGACTTAACATTGAAATCATTCGCGCCTGACGCCCTATTCGCGTCCGGTGTGAACGTAGCATTAGTGCGTCGAAGTTGTGATAGCGCTGTCGGCTAACGCGAAATGCTACTATTTACATTCCATGGATGTTTATTCATATATACAATTGTTTTGGACTAAAAACTTCTTCAAATTGGATTGTATGGACGCTTTACAGTGAAACCAAACCATTTTTGTTGGAATGTGGACTAACAGATGGCTAATTGGTGAGTTTCTTCCAGTTTGTGTTGGTTTGTTTTGGCTGTTGGTGGTCTGACAAAGAGACAGATTGTGCCCGCTGTGTTGATTGTATCTTAAAATGGTTTACGTCGTTCGAATCACGAGTTTCTCAGCTTTCCAAAGATATGTATTATGTTTACTTTTGTGTTTGTTTTGTTTTGTCTTTCACAAAGTTAAACCTATAAACCACCCTGTGGGCCGTATACGGCACGTCGGACCACGAAAAAAAAAATATCGGACTAATATCGGTATCGGCAAAAGCCAAAGGTGCGGCATCGGTATCGGTATCGGAAGTGAAAAAGTGGTATCGGGACATCCCTACTTTGAAGCTGCACTGAAACTCTAATTTGGACCTTGAACCGTTTGGTTCCCATTGAAGTCCATTATATGGAGAAAATCCTGGAATGTTTTCATCAAAAACCTTAATTTCTTTTCGACTGAAGAAAGAAAGATGTGACATCCTCACTGAATAAAAGATTAGACCAGATTCTAGTCTATTATGCCTCCATTTACCACGGTTTAAAAACGACTTACTTGACTATGCCATATCCAAGGCTAGCAATAATGACCAACACTCGAGCCAGGGTTCTTTTCACAGCCGAAAGGACCTCCGCAAACACCACTGCACCTTGAACTGCACAAACAAAATAATGTACCGTGATGACTACATTCACTATAGTAACCTAATCAAAGATTTACAGCACCGTTACAGAATCAGTCACATCAAACATAAGCCTAAGGATTTATTGATATAATGGGCCACAATACTATCCTGTACATTTAAACAGTTTGCCTTTGTGTTGAACACAAAAAAGCAGCGTTATTTTTAAATGTACTAGATTATTACAAATGCGTATTAAAACATTAAACAGCCTTCATTTCTCTTCACAGTGACCATTTAAAAACTGACCTAATTTGAGTGCACTTATGTTGTACTTCATATAAAATATAAGAAACAGATTGAAGTGAGACCATACTGTGTGTCTGCAGCTGAAATGTGACATGAATAAATAATGAATCCGTTTTTAGGACACATTTTTAACTAGTGTTACCTGATTGGCCATCGTAACGGATGCTCTGGAACTCTGCATAGAAGACCGCCTTCTCAAGCATGCCCAGAAAGATCACTCCCCCAATCCAAAACTGAATACGCAGCAGGTCTCTCCAGTAACAAGCCGAGAGAGCCAACCACAGCACGCCCATAATTACGTAGATGATGCACATCACCATGTAGAACTGAGGACAACGGGCAAAATGTGAAAACCTTTGCATATAAAAGTCTCTAGCAAAATACTACACAAAACACTGACATGTTGCTACAGTAAATCCTACAATAACATTAGAATCAGAGCCTTAAATAACTGCAGTTAGACAATAAAAAAATAAAAAGACAGACACTCACAATCATCAAAGGCCATTCAGATGCTGAGATGTAGTCATAAGGGCCGTGCATCCTGACCTCCACTGTAGTTTGAAGAAATATATATTAACATATTTAAATATGTTTATTTATAAAATTTGTTAGCAATTGTACAGGCCATTCAAAAGGACCCTTGCTGTCAAACTGGGCTGTTCTTGTTCACAAGACATTATGCTGACGATAATCAAAGATCTGGCTTCGTGAGTTCCATAAGTAGTTTACATGAACCTTAATTATTACCATTAAGGTAAGCCTAATTATAATCTTACGTTGGAACTTCCATGTCGTTTCTTTGGTAGCTGGAAACGCCTCAATTTGGATGATGAACATATAAGGGCTGTCTTCCCAGGTTTGTACCGCTGCGGTTTGCGATTTAGACTGTTTTTGCCACAACAACAAAATGCATGTAAAGAAAGAGCCACAATAAAGAACGATTTTTGAATTGTGATTCTGTGCAATAATACTCACTGAGGTTTTTACTGATAAAGAGTCTTTACTTTTCGGAGCACTCGATGGGTTTGTTGCAGCAGCCTGATCATACAAACATTGAAAAGAGTGTGATTTTATAAATCTTAACCTTGTTGGCATTGAACATCATATTGCATCTTTGTTTCCTTTAAAATACCATCACTTAATAATCATAACAAGGCATTAAATGGAGTAATTCTTTCAACAGAAAAAAACATTATTTACTCACTCTCCTGTTGTTCACATGAACGTATAAAGTTGCTTTTTTCCATACAATTATAGTAAATGGTGACCACAATCGCAAAGAAAGTACTAAACTTTGTCATTTTAAAGTCTGTTCTTCACACAAAACTATCACATGGCTTCAGATGATTCAGAATATGTGAACAAGTTGTAAGTGATACTTTTATTATGTTTTTATGTTGCTATTTTTGAAGCCTGAAAGCCCAGAGTCTCTATTCATTTTGTATGTATGGCAGAGAGCAGCTCAGACATTCTGCTAAACATTTCCTTTTGTGTTCTTCAAGAGAAAAAAAGTCACACCGGTTTGGAGGGTGAGTAAATGATGACAGACTTTTCATTCTGAGTATTAGTGTAAGGGTTAAAAATATTGAACAGAAAATGAACAAACATCTTTTGCCTTTACTTCCTCCTTCACATCCCTCCTTCGTCTGTTTTGTTTATCTGTTGTTGACTGAAACACAAAAGAGAGCAGACAAGAGAGCATTCCCAAGGGTTTTCCTGCTTTTTCTGGCTGCAGATTAAACGACATTTTGGGCTGTAGCTAGCATTTAAAAAAAATATATATTTTATGCAAATTATTTCCCCCTAAAATAATTCTGTTGGTGTACTCTCCCATTTAGCAGTTTTAGAAATTTGTCAGGATCTCTCCTATTTGGACAAAATCTATACTATAAATAAGTTAAGGAATTTCTGAATATGGGTACACACTCAAAATAACTAACGACACAACTGGTTAGACAAGATATTCATATGAACAGCAAATTCTTCTAGTTCTTTAAGCTTCGGCTATTTAGGTTAGCTCTAAAAACTGTCAAGTTTAACAGTGAGACAGAATCTGTGTCAGATCATCAGACCTACAAATAAAATACTTAATACAAAGCTATTTGGAATAATGGATTCTAACTGGTCAATCACCGCACTCTGCACTATTGAATAATTGACTATTAGGCAACAGATTTCCTACATAGCTGTGCTAGTTTCATATATCACTCCATAGCCTCTTTCATCTCATACAATCTTCTCAAATCAATATTTCATATCTATTTATTCATTTATTTGAGCAGTAATGGGATGAGTGAAGTCCTGATCACACAGCTGTGTTTTATTTTGCAAATAATGGTCAGACTACAGTACACTATTCCCTTATCTAATTGTAATATTTCAACTTACCTCATTTATTAGGTCCAGTTTTTTAGGCGTATCAGAGTTTTCTAGAGCAAGCTGGGTGTCCAATCAAGAAAAAGAGAGGCTTATTGACAGACCAAAATAATCGTTCATATAATAAGTTTCACAAGATTGATGGTTATAAATGCCAGAAACAAAAGTCTAAACACAATTATTCATTTTGTCATCATCAACAAGGAGCTGATGCCGATCATACTTTTTCTTGGCTTTCTCTGCCATAACCATTGTATTTTACAAACACACAATTACAACAGCCAAAGAAAAGCTAAAGCAAGAAGAACTGGGACCAAGAGCCCAACTAAAGCAAACACTGATCACCACAATGGTGACTTAAAATTAAACAAATATCAACATCTAAACCTCATTTAAGGAAATTACATTGAAATAAACATGTTTTAAAGCATCCTGAGTGGTTTATTTGGTCCAGAAACAGTGCAAGTTGTCTAATACCATAAATGATGTTGAAAACATCTCGTTTTTAAACTTTTACGAAGGTTCGATGAATGTATTTATCAGAAGTGGAGATCACGTCAAAAAAAGACGTCATAAAAACTTTCATTCTGGCCCCTCAGTGGACGTCTTTTCAACGTCCGACATTTGAGACAAAGACGTTGAAAAGATGTCTTTTGGACATCATTTTGCTTAGTGGGGAGCCTTTGAAATTCATGTTAATTTAAGTCTGACCTAAATAAACTAAAACAATAACAAAATATTCACAAACATTCACTCGACAATGAGCGTATTAATAAGATAAGCTGTCATGTACCTTGTTTCCATCAAAATGAGATGTGCACTCTATAGGCTCATAGATGTGACTAATGTAGTATCCATTGCCTCCTGGCCACAGTACATTCGTGCTGTTAAAATATTGTTTTTCCAAATCAGCCTTTTTGGAGAAAAGAGAATTTTGAATATTTAAAATGCTGTAAATGTAGTCAAAAAAGCACTTTTTGATAAACATCCACTCACATTAAGTCCAAACACTTCATCGTGGCAAGAAGAACTCCGCAAATACCATGATATACTAAAGTTTACAGCACCATTGCAGTCTCCTTTGTGCCCTGAAATATGTCCAGTCGATTAATACAAATAATGCACAGAGCAGCCAAAGCATAACCCACTCACTGATGCATGAGATGAAGTTATATTGGGGAAAAATTACAAAGTAAAGAGCATACTCACAGATTATGGAAATGTCAGTGCCATTGAACATTGTCTTTGGAAAATAGAAGTAGCTCTTTTTAACTGTCTGTAATACACAAAAAGGAGAATTCTCACCATCTTACTAGTTACACAAAAATGAAATCCTTCATGGACATGTATTATAGAAGAAATGTATTTGCAACTCTTATTTAAAGATTAACGTAACAGACCAGGTTAAAAAAATCCTGTAAAATATCTTAGCCTGAACACTTGTATTCAGATACATGTATTTATAGGCACTGTAGGCACGTAACATCATATTATCGATGTTTCTATACATTCATATAAATATATGGTAAGTGTTAACTGGTGTTGTGTGTGAAAAGACAATGGACTGTCAATATCACGGGTCAAGAAGACACTACGCGAGGGTCAAGATTTCACCTGCTAGCCAGAATACTGCAGTTGGGGATGCACTTACATTAACGTTATCCACATTCACGATCCATTTGCCCGGCTCTGATATAGCTGTCACCGGTGGTATAAATACGAAATGAAGAATGACAACAATCAGTACTCCTCTAATTCTTACCGATACCAAAGAATCGGTCGTGACAGTCGCCATTGTCATAAGGAAGCTGTAGACGTTACAACTTCAGCGCGAGCAACACTTCCTTGTGTAAATCTACATCCTGTTAGACGTCACTTGCTGGGTGGTGACGTTTCTGGTCATTGAATTTATTCATGCATAATATAAAATAATGAAATTTTACACATTATACAATTATGCATTAAAACCCCCACACTGTAAAAAAAAAAATACATATATATATATATATATATATATATATATATATATATATATATATATATATATATATACATATTTATGTTGGTTTAACTTAAAAAAGTAAGTAACCTGGTTTCCTTAAAATTTTAAGTTGATTGAACTGGAAAATGTGAGTTAATAAAATGAAGGAGATTAATTTAATCATCAGAAACTCAAAATAATAAGTTATCTCAACTAAATAAATTATTTAAGTTGATTTGACAAAAGAAAAAATGTTGCGATAACAAATTTTGAAAATATTTTTTTACAGTTTACAAAAAGAAACCAACAACAAAAACAATATAAAAGTAATGATATAAAAATAAAAAACGTGCCAATCATTATACCAATCAGGTATAAAAATATCAAATATATGCATTGTAGAGCTCACAAAGTATTCTTTGTGAGCATATGTAATGTAAACAAAAACTTTTATGTTAGATGTAATTGATCACTATTAATTGATTTCATTTGACGCACTGAGTGCTCAGTTATATTTTGTCATATTTTTTGTAACTTGTAATTATGATTTTTAAATTTGGTCAAAATATAACTAAATAAATTCAATAAGTGCTTTCAACATCTTTAGAATATTCAGTAATTCCAAAAAGTACATTTCCCATAAAAGTGAGAGAGGTCTAAACTTGAATATTCATTTTACATTTCTACCATGGACCATGATTAATTGATAATTGATTAAGTACATTGCCCAAATAATTGGTTTCATGGTAGTTATTGCAGAAAGTAGGCTACATTTTTTATTTATTTATAGGCTACATTTTTTCTTTTTTTCTTCTTTTCTAATTATTTGCTTCCTAAATTCTGTGCACATATTTGTTCAGGTCATTGTAAACTGGAAAGTTTGATGACTACAGTCAGTTTCTAAATTAAACTAAATTAAACAGTACCTTAAAATGAGTAGAAAAAGAAGAAGCTTGAAAATTTTTGATTTTTTTGTGCGTGCTTTTTGGTTAGTTAATTAATTAATTTATTAATAATAAATATCTTTTTGGTATGTGTAGCTTGATTTTTGTTGTCAAAACTGCTTTTTTAGTGCTAAGAAAGCAGTCCTTGGCTAGTTGGTAACATTTGTAAGAAATAAAGACAGCAATAACAGTATATTTTTAGTGATGTTTTCTTTCATTGATATTCCTTGAACAAAAGACTCAAACATCAAGTCTGTTGTACAGGATTTGTACACTAGGGAGCGCTATTTCAGACTTCTGGCCTACAATTTGACGTCATGATGCATCACCTTTGCAGTTGTTCTGAAACAGGCCGGTTTTAGGACCTAGAGTTTGACAAATCAGTGGACTGGGTGTGGAGAACTGCTATATTCATCAAGAACCGATCGCCTTTTGCAAACAAACAGCTGCTTTTATCTGTTTACCTGAGCTGCGCGTCTTTCTTCTCTGTCTACCCATTCGCTTGACCCATTCGGCGTCTTTGTTCTGGTAAGTTCTTATTTAATAGTAGTTCAAATATTTCGCATTACTAATTTCGGATGTGCGTCAGCGGCCTGCTAAACTAACTTTAAAGTTGATTTTTACAGTAGTTAAACGAAGACAGAGACATAAATGTAATGCGTTACCAATTCATGTGTTCATATACATTCCCTTACTAGGCCAGTAGAGTACTGACTTGGTTTGTTTATTGAGTTATTTACCTTATCAAAAGAAAAATACCACAGGTAAATACCAGAAATGGAAAAAAAAAAATGTTTTACTGCTAGATAACGATATTGTAGTCAGCTGACTGTCATGGATAATGGTCTGTGTATTGCTGTTTGCAGTAGCTATATTAATATCTGTCTAATCACATCTTTATATTGTCTTGTCCTGTCTTGTTCAGTCTCAAGATGTTTCTGGCTAAAAGATTACTTAAAGGGCTCGTAGATGCTGTCGGGTAAGCCTGTACTCTTATTACTGTACACTACTACAAATAATACATTTTCAACAAATTCATGGTATCTGTTTGCTTTTTCCATGCATCACAGTGACGTCGACCAGTTTGTTCCTTCTGACCCTGTAAGCTTGCATATTTATTTATTTATAATTTTTCATTGTGATGATGTTTAATGGTTGAGGTTGTGCCATGTCATTAAGCACTTTGGCGAATCCTGGAAGTCAAACATAGTTGTCCATTGATTTCTTATCCTGGCGCATGAAAAAGTTGAATGCACTTCTCACAGTACTTGTGTGCTCTTCCAGCCTCCTCCCAGAAGACCGCTCGCATATGCAAACCAGAATGAATCTGATGAGGAGAGGCAGTTTCGCAAAGTATTTCAACAACTTGCAGGGGACGTGAGTACCTGTCCTGACATCATGCTTTTTATCTGTTCTTTCCAATGTTGTTTTTAATTTCCATTTTATTGGAGTGTTCGAATGTTTATTCTGTGGTGCAGTTTCTATTAAGATCAGCACAGTCAGCTTCATTCACTTAGTGGAAAATGTATCATCCCCTATGACCTGCATCCTAATGTATTCTCCTATGCTTCTCAAATTATCCCTACACCTGCATATAAAGATCCATACTACAGTTTTACAAATCAGACACACAACACATTCATCAGACGTTCCATTTCAACCCAGAAAATTCCACATCTAGGCATTGTCCGCATTCCATCACTTTGCTCCACCCAGAATGACTTTCCCTGTTTTCAGTTAGGTTTGTTTCCATGTAGGCTTGTAAATCTCATTCAGAGTTACTTAACTTCAAAATGAAAACATGGGTGTGGTTAGACCATGCTTAACTAGTCCGGGGGCAAGAAGTATGGCTGGTTGTTCTTCTTTTTCACATTCCTGCCTTTGTGACCCAATTGGTTTGGTTTGTGTTGAATCATAGAGGGGTGTGGAAGCCTGCTTTACTGGAGGAATGAAAATATTAGATACAGGAGCTCTCTTTAAAGTTAAAGGGATACTCTCTTGTTATGCTAGTGGAAAATTACTATCATTTACATTTAGTCATTTAGCAGATGCTTTTATCCAAAGCGACTTACAACTGAGGACTAAAAAAAGCGAGTCATCGTGAAGAGACAAAAACAAAATACAAAGTTCAGACATTGCTCGGAGTAGCATAAGCCAGATAAGTGAGGATGTAAAAGGAAAGGAAATTTTTTTTTTTTTCAGTTGTCTTTTGAATGCTGTCAGGGATACTGCATTCTGTCAAAACATCAAAACATAGTGGTGCGGTTTCACAGACAGACCAGAATTAGGGCATTTAAGTAGCTTTCATAAATGTGCACTGCCTTAGAAAAAAAAAAAAACATTACAGGTGTGCAGTTTGACACAAAACAATGGCACTTACATGTTTTAGGATGTTTCAGTTTAATTTGTTTTTAGTTAAAACTCAAACATGCATTTTAGTATGGGACTAGCTTAACCGTGTCTGTGAAACTAGGGGAATATTAGAGAAAATCACTGAAGTTACTTTTTACTATACAATAGTGCAACAGTGGCTGCCCGCTTATTCAGCAGCACTGGTTCCAGAAGTATTTTTTCCGTTCATTTTTCCCATAGGGATTTTTTTTTAAAAAGAATCTTTGTAAAGACTAATAAGCCTTGAACCAAGCCAATCAGCTGTGAGGTGAATCACAACATTACGGAAAAGAACTACACTCCCATGAAGCATTGCAAACAGATTAATCAAATTAACTACAAGACAGACAGAAACTGGGAGAGTGTGTGTGTGTGTGTGTGTGTGTGTGTGTTAAATACATTTAAATAAAAACATGAATTAGTATGTGATTTTGTAATACTCTAGATTTGATTCTATAAAAACAACAAATACTGAAATGAAGAAAAATACATTTTAGGGTTACAACTTGATTTTTGTCTTAAAATAATGAAATATTTAAATAATTAATACAATTAATTAAAGTAATTCAGTTTACTGTGGGCCCCCTGGTTGAGAACTGCTGATTTAAATATATTTTATATTTAGGATGTTACTAGTCTCTTAAAAAAAAGTGAGATTGTTTTAAGCTTATATTGAAAAGAGTGTGGCTGTTTCCTCTCATCATAGGACATGGAGGTGAGCCCTAATGAACTGATGAACATCCTTAACAAGATTATTTCCAAACGTAAGTTCCTTTAACATATGCATATGACACAAATGAGGCATTATGTAAAAGATGCTAATAAGACGATCCCTTATTTTCATTCTAGATGGCAATCTGAAGACGGATGGTTTCTCTATTGAGTCCTGCAGAAGCATGGTTGCAGTAATGGACGTATCCTTCAATACAATCAGTCATTAACAGAATGTTAACACAAGTATTACATTTTGTGAATAAGTGTTGAAATGGTACATCATTTTTGCCTTAACTATCTGCTCTCAGTCTGACAGTACTGGAAAACTTGGATTTGAAGAATTCAAGTATCTTTGGAATAATATCAAGAGGTGGCAGGTACAATAACTGTTCATTTTACACCGTTTGTACTTGACCTTATAGGGTCACACTACATCAGGGGTGCCCAATGTTGCTCCTGCCGATCGACTGTCCTGGGTTCAAGTCCACTTTTAGACACGCTCTTGCGAACTTCCCTAAGGGGAATCCCTGCCGCCATTTTGAAGTGCGTTCCACTTCGTGAAGTAGACGAGAGAAGTTTATATGGACAGACCCTCGCTCCCTCGATTTTGACAGAGGGACTGAGTCTACCTCATATGTGAACACAGGGCAGCTCCATATACCACAATGCAACACGACTGGCTTAGAACGTTCCAATTCAGCCCATTGCAGTTTCTGCCAGTAGTGAGCAATGACATTAGAAGTTAGCAAGTGAAGGGCATGACAATTTTGGACTTTGGATTTCATCTCCAACCCTAATCAAACACCTGAAGCAACCAATTAAGGTCTTTAGGATCACTTGAAAATTAAAGGTAGGTGTTTTTGATTAGGGTTGGAGATGAATTGTGCAGGACCAAGGGGGTAATCCATCAGCTGGAAGTTGAAGCCTCGCGGGAGCCGGCATTGTAGCAGAACTTCGCCTGCTGTTAGTTTCAAGTTTCAAGTTTATTGTATTTATAAAGCACATTTAAAACAACCTAGGTCGACCAAAGTGCTGTACAAAATATATCTATTAAAATCCGTATAAAATAAGAAAACAAAAACAAAAACATAAATCAAACACATAAAAACAACTTTCACAGAACATTGAACGCACAGGAGTACAAATAGGTTTTTAAAAGACTTCTGAACACCGACACTGTGGGCGCTGTTTTAATATGTAAGGGCAATTTATTCCATAGCCTGGGGCCAGCTACCGCAAAGGCTCTGTCACCCCTACATTGCAGCTTCGACCTGGGTACTCTTAACATTTGATTAGACTGTGATCTGAGCAGTCTAATTGGTCTGTGTTCAGTCACCAGCTCTGTGAGGTATTGAGGAGCCAGATTATTTAGTGCTTTATAAACAAACAACAAAACTTTAAAATCAATACGATACTGAACTGGTAGCCAGTGCAGTAAACGTAATGTGGGCGAAATGTGGTCCCGTTTACGAGTGCCTGTGAGCAAGCGGGCGGCTGCGTTTTGTATCAGTTGTAGTCGATGGATAGATGACGCAGGTAGTCCTAGATAAAGCGAGTTACAGTAGTCGAGTCGAGATGAGATAAAGGCATGAATTACAATCTCAAAACTGTTCCTACTTAGGAAAGGTTTAACTTTCGCTAATCTCCGGAGGTGGTAAAAACTGCCACGTACAACTGTATTTATTTGTTTATTTAAATTTAGGCCACTATCCAATATAAAACCCAAGTTCTTTGTCGAGGATGTGCGATATTTACTGAGCGAACCCAAGTCCACATTGCTCAGGTCACTTTTCTCTGATGGCCGATGGCCGTTAGCATTCCATTGACTCCTATTCATTTTGGCATCACTTTGACAGTGAATAACTTTACATCTGAGGTGTTCAAAGACTTCATTTGTCCATTATTTATTTCTAAAGAAACACGACAATGTATAAAAGGCTTCATTACCTTGTATCTTACGTTATGGCCCCATAGAAGAAGTTTTTGTAAAAATAGGCTAACGATTGCGTCATAACGAATCGACTCTCCGTCGCACAGTAAATAAATTACCGTATGGACAGTAGTAGAAGCTTGCAGGCAATCGGGGGGACATGGAGGCATAAAGTTGAAGGAGAAGCCCATTGAGAGTCATAAAGTTGATCCTGCTGCTAGCTCATGGACAGCTAATACTCACTCTCTCCGTCTCTGTGAGATTCGGAGGGGAATTGTTCAGATTTCTCTCGGCACAGCTACTAGAAGACATATAGGTTGCTCACATGACTGGCTCAGTTTGAGCCTGCGCAGTTTGCCTGGGATCTGCTTTTAATGGGCTCCAATGTTCTCTGTTGAAATCAATGGGGTTGCTCTGTCCATTTCTTTTACTGTCTATATATGCAGGGCAGTTGATCGGCAGGAGCAGGATTGGGCACCCCTGCACTACATATTAGGTGTCTTCTTTAACTATGTAGTAGCATAGATTGATAGGGACAATTAATTTACTTATTGTGTTTACAAATGATTAATAAATGCTAGTAAATAGTAGTTAAAGACATTTAATATAAAGTGGGAGCCTTTATTTTATCTTATAAAAAAAATTTGGTGTTAACTAACTATTATGAAGATCATGATTTTTCTTTCTAAGTTTTCCACTTAGGATATTTTTTAGCTTTCTTGTATATCCAACAGATTTCCCTTTCCTGTCAAAAATGTTTCAGAGCAAACTATTTTTGTTAAATCCAGGGTGTTTACAAGAATTTCGATGCCGATCAGTCTGGTATGATTGGGTCCGCTGAGCTACCTGGAGCTTTCAGTGCAGCAGGTGAGCTTGATGTCAGTGCGGACATTATTACATTTTAGGTTGCAGTTTTGAAAGGCATGCTGAAGTCCTCTATGTGCTTTTTATATAAATATTGTGGGAAAATACTAGTATATCTACCAGTCGAAATTGGTTTAATTTGTAATTCTTTCCATCCTTTAGGGTTCCCGCTTAATGACCAGCTTTTCCAATTGATCGTTCGGCGATATAGTGACGAACATGGCAACATGGATTTTGATAATTACATTGGGTGTCTTGTACGCCTGGATGCTATGTGTCGTACGTTTGTCAGAATATTTTGCAGTCTTTCTTTATTCTTTCATCTAAGGCTCAGTATATTTTTAGATTCAGTTGCTAATATTTTCTTATTTTCAGGTGCCTTCAAGACACTTGATAAAGACAACAATGGCACCATTAAAGTCGACATTCAAGAGGTACTACTGTACAAGAACCATAATTGAAGATGACAAGAAACCAGCATTTTATGACTTGTGCCATAAGTCTGCTAAATTAGCTTCTATATAACTCTTTTGTTTCTTGTTCACAGTGGTTGCAGCTGACGATGTACTCCTGAATGAAGATGAATATGCTGAACAATGGTTATATTCATCTGTCAGTTCTTTTTTGTGGCCTGTCTTTGTGTTTTACTGACATAATTATTAGTTTAATTGTTAGCATGACAGCATGATCATATACTGTGCCTCTACACTAGATGGCAGCTTTGTTGCGACGCTAGATAGTGTTGGTCTTTAAAGGTCAAGTTTTTGCCACATTTCCATAGTTTATTCCATGCCAATTGTGTACTTTGCATTAATCTATGACTGGCTTTATAGTTTTACAAAGTGCATTCAACCAAATATTAAAAAGAATGTTCTTACGTATTAGATAAAGCTTATAACAACATTCCAGAGCCATATTATTTAATCATTGAGGATGTAAATCAGCTGTCATTTTTGCAGATTTATTAAAACTGATGTACAAATAAACGTTATTTGTTCTGGAAAACACAACAGCAAAGCAGATCTCCACTCATTACGTGTGCAAACACCGGTTGCTCTGAGCAACGCAATCTAACCGCATCAGTGGGCTGAAATAGAAAATGACTGACAGTTACAATAGCCAATTAAATAGCCCCAGCGCTAGGTATGAATAGAACAACAGCCAATCGTCTTCATGATGAGGGCGTGGCCTCAGAGTTACCTGGATGAAGACAACTGCGGCTCGCGCTGAGTAGATGATGCTGAAATCAGATCAATAAGCAAACAGGTGTTGAGCGAGCATAGGTGAACAAAACGGGCTTTATCTTTGCGCCATCCTCAGGGGAAATAAAAATTAAGCGTGTATCTGCTGTCATATGGTGAGTTGCACTATTTTTTTAAACTTTTAAATAATTTTGGTAATCTAGTTTATCATGAAAAAGGCATCTGTTAATGTTAGACTTTAATATTGCTTTGGGATGCTATTTGTTTTGAGTTTTTTTGATCACCCCTATAGTTTATTCTGATATAAGTGTTTTTATTTATTTATTTTTTCAATGTAATTTACGTTAAGGCAAACAATTGTATAATCATCACAAGATTAATCTTTAGATATTCCCTAAATATATTATTTGCCCACACAATGAATTTGTGTATATAGAAATATATCATGTGTATTTAGTTGTCTCGTGTACTGGAAGCAAATTCATCATAAAACATATAGCAGTTATTACTGCTCATTCGGCCAAAAGATGCTTTTACTATTTTTCTCTTCTTGCTATAAGAATTTCAAGCTACTTTTTGCTTTGATTTAGTGTCCTTTGCAATTGAACAGAGGTCTCTTGCTAATGAACAGATGAAATCCCCTCATTAAATCCATGCATATTTGGATTAAAACCCATGGCAAAACCAGCCCAGTAAATTCTATTTTATAATATTTAGCTCTTATATGTTTATTGCTAAGTCAATATTAGTTTGGTCTGCCTTCTTGGTATTCAGTGAATTGTTTGCAGACAAATTATGATTAATAAGGAAAAACATGTAAATAAAGTCAGTAGAATTAAATAAATAATGTTGCAATAATACAAATATTCTAATAAATTTAAAGTTGCAATAAATTCCACTCTGTTGAGGCTAATGCATCTAACTTGAATCTAATCTGAAAATCTTAATTTGTTTGTGTGCATTAACCATTTCAGTGGTTTTATCATAACCAGGCTTCTTTTCCAATTTTATAGATGCACATGCTATGATCTATTACTCCACAAATGATCAAAGGTTTCTTAATCTACACATCTGCATGTTCATATTGTATAATTCAGAATTACTTGTGTTGGTTGATGTACAGGTAGATTTTATAAATGATTTTCCCCAATTAATATCATGAGACTATAATTAAGTTTACGTAATTAAAACTAACAGAGGTAGAATATGAGTTTCCTCTGAGGAAATATGTGAACATGAATGCTGTCATTGAACATTTTAAGATCTGTATTTATGTGATGTGGAACATCTTGACCTTTTCTTCATGTATTTACATCTCTGGTTCATGTTCATATGTCAAATTACTGCACGTATATAGAGACATTGTAGAAGTAACATGCTTCAAATAAGCATTGTTGCATTGTTTCAAATGCCTATACTGCAGATTTTCTTAAGTCACAGTGAAAGGTGTGAAAGACTTGGTGACAATTTAAACACACCCTCTAAACAGTGTGAGCTCCAGTTGTAAGCAAGGTTGGTCGAGATATATAATTTTCCATCCTAATGCTCGGGATGCGAGATGCACCTAGCAATTAATAAATGATGGTTTTGGTGTTGCACGAGGGGGTCTGATTTTATGCTGTGCTGTTTCTTCTCTGTTGTACCAGACCAATTATTGCTGTCAATCTGAGGCATGCTGAGTTTATAAAGCCTTTGCTCTAAGAATAACCACATCCCTCGGCCTGTCCTCCCCCCCGCTGCTGCACTCAGCTGGCTGCCGACTCCACCATGACATCTGAAGTGGAGGAGATGCAGAGGAGGGCCAATCAGGTGACAGATGAGGTAATTCCCACAACAATGATTAAAGTAGCAAACTTCTACATTGATTTGCATTGATTTGTGTGGATCTTCAGCTGATGGTGTGTGTTTTTGCTATCCTGTTTTGGTGTGGCTGCACAACTGCTTATCAACAGTTCTAGAGTGATGACATCAAACATTTTCCGTGTTGCCTTGTTAGGGTTACTACAGGTCTCAATAATTCCCATGGTATATAGCAACCAGGATGATGATGCTAAACATGTTTTATATGCACCTGCGCAATGATTATGAATCCCATTGTGACGTATGAGGAAAACATAAATGAAGCCATTATTCATCACCAGATTTTCCACTGGGTGCTATATAATGGATAATGTCTTTATGGCAAAATGAACCCAACAGGGTTTGGACTCAGATTCAGAGTGCTTATTACACACCTATATTATTGTCTTGCCACTAATAAAAAAGTCTAATACAATATAAAAAACAACTGGCTAGCAACAAGTCGAACACTGCAACAATATTACAGTGATATTAAAAATTCCTCAAGTCATTTTCACTATACAGACTATTCAGTCTAATCAGAATTGAGTACTCCATAACACAACTTAATAAACTGGCTGAACTGAGTTTTCAATATGTTCTTTTTAGTCAACATTGCATTTTGAATCTTTACCTCCGACAGTCCCTTGAGATCACCAGAAACTTGAAGCTTCTGTTGGAGGGGGTGAGTGATTATTATTAATCAACTATTAAAAAAAAATATCATCAGCAATATTCTATCTATCTATCTATCTATCTATCTCTATCTATCTATCTATCTATCTATCTATCTATCTATCTATCTATCTATCTTCTCTTCTTTCTGTCTGTCTGTCTGTCTGTCTGTCTGTCTGTCTGTCTGTCTGTCTGTCTGTCTGTCTGTCTGTCTGTCTGTCTGTCTGTCTGTCTGTCTGTCTGTCTGTCTGTCTGTCTGTCTGTCTGTCTATCTATCTATCTATCTATCTATCTATCAATCAATCAATCAATCAATCATCTATCTATCTATCTAAGTTGTTGTTTTTTAATATTCATGTTTTCAAAGTTTAGTACCCTATCTTAAAATCTCTTTCTTTCATAAATCACTAATGCAAAATATACAGTATACATGGGGCCTTAGTTGAATGATTTTTAGAGCATATATCTATATATATTAGGGCTGTCAAACGATTAATCGAGATTAATCGCATCCAAAATAAAAGTTTGTGTTTACATAATATATGTGGGTGCACTGTGTATAATTATTTTGTATATATATAAATACACACACATGCATCTATATTTAAGAAAAAAATATTATTTATATATAAAATATTTATATTTATATATAATATAAACTATATATAAATCTATATACAGTAGGGCCTATATACATGAAAATATTTCTTAAATATATACAAGCATGTGCACCCACATATAATATGCAAACAAAAACTTTTATTTTGGATGCGATTAATCGCGATTAATCGTTTGACAGCCCTAATATATATATATATATATATATATATATATATCATACTGTATATACAGTGTGTATAAAGCTAATTTATTTTGAGAGAATATTGATGAATCATCAATGTCAATGTGCACTCGTACTGAATTATTTGTGTAATTCTTCAACAGAGTAAAGATGCAGGGATCAGGACGCTTGTAATGCTGGACGAGCAGGGAGGTATAATGAGTTATCTTCATACACGTCGTAATTAAATAGAGATCAAATGTACAGCAGCTAAACAATGAACTAATTACTAGCAAATGCATAATTAGTTGTTCATTAATCCCATTGCATCTCTATGACAGGTAGTTATTATCTGTATGCTAATGATAATATGTGCAAGATGTGGGTGTATAGACAATGTGTTCTTCATCTTTTGTTATTTACTCGTCCTTTGCGACATATATGTGCACATAAAACTACGTACCCTACATGTGTCTGTGTGTGCATGTCGCATATTTCTACCCCTTTGAATTGCCCTTCCTGCTGCCACCCATGCCCTCCCCTATCTCCCCCGCATGGGCAGAACAACTGGACCGCATAGAAGGGGGCTTGGATCAGATCAACAAGGACATGAAGGAGGCTGAGAAAAATCTCACTGACATGGCCTGGTGTTGTGGTCTGTGCATCTGGCCATGTACAAAGTAGGTCTCCCCCAGACATCAGAGCCATGGCTGGACTTTGGCAGTCAATAATGTCACCTCTCTGCCCATGCCTCTGTCCCATTGGTTAACCTATCCTGCTTTGACATTGCTTCATAGTTGTCTCTTTTTGGCTGTTTTGTGAGCAGATGTGATGTGATGTGCCACCCGTGCTCACACAACAAACAGTGTTTTTTGGTAACGCTTCCTTTTTACAGTCCAGTTACCCATGTAAATACTATGTACTTATTTTAGTAACTACAATTACTGGGTAATAACTACTGAACCTACCCCTAAACCTCCATGTACTTACCTTATATTAGCCAGTACTTTCTAGGTAAGTGTACTGTAACTACGGTACTGTAAAAGGAAGCGTTACCTGTTTTTTAAGTATCCTAATGTCTTTCAGTCATGTTTAAGTCCATAAATCTGTTCTGGTTGTCGTTTTGAGCTAGAGCCGCCGTAGTTGTTTAGTTCCTTGTGGGTGTGTGGCGCTTCTTGCTGAGACATCTGTTGTTGTGTGTTTTTTTTTTTTATCTCGTCTCCATACTTTAACCACTGAAACTCCCATACTCTGTGATCCTACCTTCCGTCATCCAGAGCAACTGGAACGGATTGAGGAAGGGCTGGACCAGATCAACCAGGACATGAGGGAAGCTGAGAAAAACCTTACAGATCTGGGCAAATGCTGCGGTCTGTGCTCCTGTGATAAGTATGTGATGTTTGGAGGGGCTCGGCTTCTAGTATGCTTGCATGAAAACTTTGCATACCTCATTTCTGCCATTTTGTGCCAGTGGTTGCTTCTGGTGATATCTCAAGAAATCACAGTAAATTAGTTGGATACATACACCTTTGTGTGTGTGTGTGTGTCTATATATATTTAGTATATTGCCCTAATAAGTAACGTTGTGAAAGGAACAATAACAATACAAAATTTCCCCTCACTTGGCTTTTCCATTGAACTCATGACTTAAACTATAAAGAACATATAATATACGGAGATTTTTGTGCGGTTCATTCAAAACAGATGCAACACCAAGTAACTGTTGGTGCGTTCATGTGCTATGGAAAATATGATATTTTACACTTGTGAACTGGTATTTACCAGTGTGTTGCGTTCAGGTGTTTTTGTTGTTGTAATGTGGTAAAAGATGGAGATCCAGACCTGTTATTTAGCTAAAACTATAGATTGCTTAAGTCAACTGCTACAGCAAGAAAATTATTCATCAAAACTCAAACGGTAAATAATATGCTGTATATTTTCTAAATCATGAATAGGACACATTTTTACCATTCATGACTCTTGCGTTGCTTTCTGCCATTTTAAAAAGGTCAAAGATTATCTCATCTCGGCAACTCGTCGTGCATCAAAATATTCTACGAGTTACCCAGTGGAAAATATCACATGAGGGGGTGTCCATGTGCATTTTCCACGTCGGCTTTTGGTATTTACCATAGCATCTGAACGCACCATGTGTCGTCAGAGACAGCTTTGAATCCTACTAAAAGAATTCAGCCTAAATTTCACTGATCATTTCTCAAGGTATAGGTTATTGACAACAGAAATGACTAATTTAGGTAACTTTGTGTCTTTCTCATGGTTTCTCTCAGATTAAAGGACTTTGAAGAAAGTGGGGCGTATAAGAAGGTGTGGGGTAATAATCAAGATGGGGTGGTGTCTAGCCAGCCCTCCTCTCGAGTGGTGGATGAGCGAGAGAAGATGACTATGAGCGGTGGATATATTAGAAGGTGCCAGGACTTTTGACATTACCATTTCTTTCTCAATTTAAATAAACGGTTTGGTGGATACATTTATAAATGATGGATATACTTAAAACTGACAAGTTTTTACTTGGAATTTTGTGCATACATAAACAAATAGTAGATGAAAAAAGCACGTAGCTGCTTGACGTAGCTGCAGCAACGAGGCCGCGAGGTGCGAGGCCAGTGACGTGATTAAAGTCCGCGTGAAACGGAAGTTGAGATTGTCATATTTTCCTTGTCGTGACGTATATCCGAATGAAACGACTTCTGAAATTAGAAAAAAAATGTAGGGCAGGGCTTGATTTCATCCTTTGGGAATTGATTGGATCACTGGAGGTTGGGCGTTGCATACAAAATGGAGGCAGATTTGAATGCGATCTTGAATGACTGGCCGAGATAAAGCTGTTCTCTTTGGGTACATGAACGTTTAACGGCCGATGATGGCCTGGAGCTTGCATCTGTGAAAGCGTTTGCGTCTATAGGCATAGTATAGTAACCAACAGTCAGTTGACAGTGTGTCTAACTATTTGTGTGCGATCTTGACAGAGTGACAAACGATGTAAGGGAGGATGAAATGGAGGAGAACTTGGCCCAGGTCGGCAGTATCCTTGGCAACCTCAGAAACATGGCACTTGACATGGGCAATGAAATCGACACTCAGAATGTCCAGATTGAACGCATACAGAGCAAGGTCAGTGTTTGGAAAGGGTTCAAAGACGCTGGCTGTTATACAAAGAGCAGCTGAACCTATTTATGTTAACCATTCTTTGATTCTGTTTTTTGCAGGCCATGGTCAATGAATCCCGCATCAATGAGGCCAATCAGAGGACCACAAAGCTAATATCAAGATAAAAAATGTAGAAAATGTCTTCTGTAGAAAATGTGCAAAATGACACAAACTAATAGGCTATCCATCTTTTAAATGACTATTTATGGAATTTGGATGACTCCCTACTGATATGATAGTAAATTATTCATATATTATGGTCCGACATATACCTCTATTTTTAATGAATGTTTTATAGTCTTGTGATTTAAACATGTATTGTATATAAAAATGTTTTAGACTGCTAACTTGGTTTTTAAGCCTCCAAAACACTTCAGCTCACTATTCAGACTTCAGGTTGTATTGGTACACGTCTTTGTTTACTTTGAGTAACATTCTTTTTTAAATAAATCCAAATTTGTAGGGTGCTTTTTCTGATTGACAAACATTTTTTTTCTCCTAAATATGGGCCACTTGCTTAGGTTCCTCAAAAACCCATAGCCTTAATTTTTTTAAATCTTTTTTTTTTTAATTTGTATTTTTATTAAATTAAAAATAATACTAAAAATATAACAAAATGTACACTATTTCCAATTAGTTTTGTTTCCAACCTTTGATTTTTCTTTTCTCCTGGGACTAGTCTGGCAGACTCACTCACCATTCACTGAGATTCCATCCTTTTATAAAATGGTTACTTGGTCTCTAACATTATCCCATCTAATCTCCTTCTATGATCCACGGAAGAAAGGGACACAATTTGGGGGACAAAATTAATTTAAGCCGTTAGACAAATCTCAACGATAGTGATAATTCAATTCTGTGATCATTATAGGCCTACTCACCCTCAAGTTGTAGAAAAAAAATACTATGGAAGTCAGTGGGTCCTGTAAGGTTGCTGACAGTCTTCAAAATATCTTCCCTTGTGTTCCGCAGAAAAAAGAAATTCATACAGGGTTGAAACAACTTGAGGGTGAGAATATGATGACAGAATTTTCATTTAGAAGTGAACTATCCCTTTAAGTTTTTTCCTGACTCATGCAGGCATATTTGAGGAACTCTCAATACTCCCACCCACCGGTTGCTGCAGGCAATTACAATGCCACTCCCCATGTCTGTGAAAGAACCTCAAGATGGTGGCGTGTTGCATGGCCACATCATCACTGAACCATTAATGGTATTTTTTTTTTTTTTTTCAAAAAACAAACAAATATTCATTTTCATTTGGTTGCCTTCCAAACTTCTGCTTAGATATGCATATAATACTCAATGAGTACATTGATTAAGACCTGAGGACCACAGAAGAAAGACAATAGGATTGCAACTCAATTTAATATTTCTAATTTAATCTCTTCAATGTAAGGCCTAAATTAATCCCCTCAGATGTAAGGCCTAAATGAATCCCAGTATTTCTTACTAGGAAGAATAGCCCCTTATGATTTGCATTTGTCAAATTATATGCCTTTAAATTATGTCAAACCTACGTCTTTATATATTTTATTAATATCAGACAAGGAAATCACAATTTTTATATATTTCGGTTTTTTAATAAATGTTGGAGCGCCGTATATTTACTAAAAATCCTATCAGATTTGGGGGAAAGCGTACAAAATCCACAAATATTTTACGCGATATTTTCAACAATGTGTATATATAAAATGCAACTTAAATGTACGTTTATTTAATTGTGAGCTGCACATTCATATGCTTAGACTGGGCCACAGGGTGTTCGTGTGTAGTAGGGAATGTTTCCACACAGACAGGCACAGGGCAGGATTACTATAGAATGTTGGCGAACTATCGTTGTGGAGGGGGAAAAACACGTAGAGCTGAGTCTGCGCGACGCAGGGGATCACTGCCTACGAAGTTTATCGGGCAAGACTACACCGACAAATCCTAGGACACATTCGACCACACTGTAGGTAATTACCACACAATCTATCACTAATATCAATAGCAAGAACGTTTATCGCCGTTCCAGTGTACGCAGTTTAGATTTGACGCTAAATTCGTTCGTAAATACGTCTACGAAATACGTGCGTAGTCCATTTTCCTACTCGGCAGGCTAGCGACAAACAAAATACAAATCCGTTCGCGTTTCCTGGACGAATACTCGTTTCTAATGCTTGAATCTATCTTTACGTGTGTGAGCGAATACTGTACGCGAGATAATTCAGATATGGCTGATTTGAACGCTCGAGATCCACGCCGTGTGCCCGTGATGGCGTTCGCTCGATTCTCTCTGTTCCTCCTATTGCTCTCTGACGATTAGGCAGGACAACAACAAAGAAGCAGGAAGCATATGGGTACACCGGCAAGGCGGTGTGAGATCACGCCGCAATTAGTCGTAATAGTTAATTTAAAGTAAAAGGATCCTAGAAAAATGTGGATCTGTGCTTTTCCCAAATAATCTCTGTCTGTGGCTGTTCTGTCCGTTTAAAGAGCAGAACACAAGCAGCAGTCATTACATTATTAAGCAGAGTATTTGTCAGACGCACACACATTTATATGTGTGTGTGTGTGTGTGTGTGTGTGTGTGTGTTTATTTTGGTGATGCAAAGCTGATTACTCAGCCATTACTCCAGTCTTCAGTGAAATAATTCTATACTGATTTATTATCAATGTTGGAAACAGTTATGCCGGTTAAATTTCCTTTATAACCTGTGAGACTTTTTTCAGGATTCATTGATGAATAAAAAGACCAAATAAATGGCATTCATTTAAAATGAAAATCTTTTGTAACAACAACCTTTCAAAAGTTTGGGGTCGTCATTCTTTTGTCCTTTCTTTTTTTGAAAGAAATTAATACTTTTACTCAGCAAGGATGTGTTAAAATGATAAATTATATTTTTAAAAATAGTTTCTATTTTGAATAAATGCTGTTCTTTTTAGTATCAAATCAGCATATTAAATATTTTTTCTGAAGGATCATGTGACACTAAAGACTGGAGTACTGATGCTGAAAATTCAGCTTTGCATCACCGGAAAAAAAAGATAATTTTGAGTATATTTAAATAGAAAATCATTATTTTAAATGGTAATGATATTACACAATATTCTATATATATATATATATATAGTGCAATGGAATAAGAACAGGTTAGTTAAAATGAATTCGAGGATGAATGAGTTAAATGATAAAAAATGTATTGCATTCAGAAATGAATGTAAAAAATAATTATTTTTTATTGTAGATAAATAATGTCAGGTCTTTGGTCGACTCATATGTTTTCCATATTCAAGGGGAAAATTAATATTATTGTTAAAAAATAAATAAATTGGTCACACCACCACTTTTTTGTGCAAATGGTGTATTGTGAACAGCATCATCCTGTACAATCTTTTTTGATACTTGATGTTTTGCATATCCAAATAAAAAACTGTTTCTATTTTAATGCTTATATTAGCATGAACATATTTCTGTTATTTCTGTTCTGTTAGTTAAAATGAATTAGAGGATGAATGAGTTAAATGATGCTGCTTTTGGATGAATAATAATAATGTATTTATTATTTCAGCCATATAATTCATGGAAACCTTCTGATAGATGCTAAATCTGATCGATTTAGTTTGTGATTGGTGACAGTTTTCGAAAGAGGAAGGATGTCGGAATTTCTGCCATACCCTTACAGAGGGCCAGGAGGTGCTTTGATGCGCTTTAAGAAAAGGAAGTCACGCTTCACGTTCCAGGAGGTCGAACTTCTCCTCAGCGAGGTGCAGAAAAAACGGCATATTCTAGTTGGTAAGACATACCTTTTTATTTTTACATCACATCGTGCAATAGGATCTGATTTTCAGTGATTTGAAAGTCTCAATGTTGCTTTCCATACATGAAGGATTCTAGTTAAATAAACTCATGTCTTCAACAGGAAAGTTCAACAGGGGCATTTCGAAGGAACTGAAAAACCGCACTTGGGCGGATCTGACAGCACGTATCAATGAGGTCAGTGAGTGTCACAGAGAAGTTATTGAAGTCATCAAGAAATGGGCAGACCTCAAATGCGACACCAAACGGAGGGTGGCTGCCATGAGGGCATCGGGAGCCACGACTACCCAAATCGCACAAGAGCTGTCACCCATAGAAACCATGGTGCACCAGATCCTTCAGTTGTCTAACCCTCACAAAAATGTGAGCAATTTGGCAATCGATGACCAAATGGATGACGAAGACGAAGACATTCCAGGTCTCGCTGAGATACCACATAGCTCCTCACACATGGAAAATGGCAGGCCTCATTCGTTTAGTTTACCAATGCCACCTCCTTTCCACACTGGTATCCCAAGCAAAGGAGAAATGGTGCTTCCCACACACATGATGTTTAGCGGTGAGTTCCTTCCTTAGTGAGTAATTTTTAAGGTTATTCGTTACTAAATGTTTAAATAATAAGTTGGTAATTTTGTTTTTGTATTGATAGATTCAGCAGTGCCTCTTTTAGACCTCCACACTGACATGTCAGAAAAGGAAGGTAAGTGATAATAATGCAGAGCTACTTGCCATACATTTTAAAAATGCATAAAAAAATCCAGTTCGTACATTAAGTGAAATGCATCTCTTCTACAATGAGCAGTTTTTTAATTGAAACGCTTTTATTCACCATGTAGTGCAATTCCCTAAAAAAACATGATGAATGTTTATTTTATATATATTATATTTGAAGAAAAAAAGAAAGGCAATTGAAATGTTTTTTTGGGGGAAAAATATGATTGTAAAAAATAATAATGTTCCTGTTTATTGTTGATAAATAATGTCAGGTCTCGGTCATCTCATATATAAATGAATATTATTGTTAAAAATAAATAAACTTTTTTTACATGATGTTTTGCAGATCCAAATAAAAAACTGTTTCTATTTTAATACTTATTTTAGCATGAACATATTTCTGTTCCTTCCAGGTGGAAACATGCAGTTTATTGAAACAGGAAACCAACCAAATCAGAGTCCTGTTGTTATCCCTGGATTCCTCAGCCATCCCATTGCTGAGAAGAACCAAGTTCGAGAAAAAGCGAATCACAACACATATAACGGGCCTTCCGCCACCAGGACCTCAGCATTTATTGCACCTTCTGGGGCCGCCTCATCATCACGTTCAGCTCCTGTTCGGATCCCTCCCCAACCTGCTTCCATGGAACCCCGCAGTCTGCAGGAACGTTTATCCCAGAGTGCCTCGCTCAGCCTGCAGGAACAGCAGGGCACTACACTGCTGATAGGGTCGCTGTCTCGCTCGCTGGAGTCGCTCGCGGAGTCGGTGCAGAAATTAGTCCACACCAGCAGCAGTATTCACGCGACACCTTACAACTGCAGCGTGAAACGCTCCACGTCCTACGTGACTTCTCCTCCAACGCCTTGACACTCCTGCAGGACAAGTTCAACGGACATCCATAGCTTCTGAACACCGCAACGCTATCGACTGCTACAACTGGGAGCAAGTTACATAAGCAATGAATGCTAATAGCACAGAAAATACAATAAGCTGGGATATTGTGACACTAGAGTATATGGCAATCTTTAAATATCCTATATATTGAGTTACAGGACTAAAAAGTTTTCCCTGTTTATAACATAATAACCAAAATGAGAAGCATCGGGAGCTGAAATGGGTTCTTTGTAGAGCTCCTCATATATACTGAATGATATTTTCAGTAGACGACTGGGTCTCATAGACTGTTTGGACCAATTATGTGCTGTTATACAGGTAATATAATAGGCAAAATGTATTTAAGATAATTCTATTTGTGGTGCATTTTAACATATTGCAAAGTGGCCATGAAGTTGGGTGGTTTTAATTTATGTAATCTGATTTTACGGTCTTCTTTATTTGGTTTTGTTATTCTGAAATTCTTTTAAATCAGTTTTTGGCTCAAGTTTTGACAGTTCTGCTGTAAATGTTTTAATCTTTTAGCCAATGTGCATTATCTGTTATTAGTAGTTTCTCTTCACTTGAATTTCCAAAGACTCGTTAGTGTGTGTGTTTTTTTTTTAATTTTCTTTCCGGATGTGATTTTGAATAGTGATTGAAGGCACATTATCTTAGATGTAGCTCCTATGGACCTGTGTTTGATCTCCCAGAAATGAAAAGTCAGCACACTGTCAAAAGATGTCTCCTACTTTAAAACCCAATGTCAAAGATGAAAATAAAATGTATAATTTGAAATAATACTTTAAAAATCAGTATTGTGTTTTTCTCCTTACGGTTAAGTGCAACAGGTAATTGGGAAAAGTGGGAAAATTGGTTTTGGCTGCCATATGTAATTTTATTTGTTCTATACACAAGGTATTCTCGATGCTTGCCACTGTAGTCACTTGGACCGTTTTAATGATGTGTCTACTGACTTTTCTGGGCTGGCAGATTTCAATTACCTATAGCAGCCTATGGAGGAGTGAGACCGCTCTCAGATTTCATCAAAAATATCTTAATTTGTGTTCCGTTATATCTTAATTTGTATTTGTTAAGATGAGCGAAAGTCTAATGGGGTTGGAACAACATGAGGGTGAGTAATTACTGACAGAATTTTCATTTTTGGGTGAACTAACCCTTTAATAGAGTAATGTTTTACTGTCAGTGCAGGGGCACTCTGATTGTAGTCTGTTACTTATGCCAAATTACACGACAGAAATTGTAGTTAGCAACATAATCTAATTGCACATTTAATGTAATCGTATTACTTTTTGATTACCTTTGTCCTACCTCATTCATAACTGAACTGCAGGGGGTTTGTGAGTTTAATGAAAAGCTAATAATTAAATCATAAAAATGTCAAATTATAATAAAAATTCCTTCCAAAGACAGCAATACATGCAATTTCATAAAACTAGAGGACTTTCTGAATGATTTTTTTTTAGAAAGAAAACATGAAAGGGACAATCAATAAATTGTGATTGATTTACTGCCCTTCTGTGAATAATATGTAATCAATAAAGTCTGATTATGCATATTCTTATATAACATCGGAATATTGAATATTATATATTCATATATAATATTACTTTTCGGAATCTGATTATGGGATCCAGATTACCAATGGGATGTCTGAATATGAAACATTTGAATACGAATAGACTCGATGTTGATAACTGTGTGAAAGTGTCCTCGGTCTGTGAAAAGGGTTCATTGCTTTGTGCATTAACATTTTTTAATTTAACCAGTCAAATTCAACAGTGGACGCTTTATAAATCTTAAAGTTATTTATAATCTACTTTGTATAATCTGTTTTGTTAACAGCTGAAGGGGGAAACACAGTTGAAGTTAATATTGTTCAACAACACTGGTTTCACACAAAGGAATACAAAGAAATTACACTAGATGTCACTGTTGCACTTTTGTTGCCAAGTGCAGGAGAACAAGTGGGGGGGAGAAAGCAATTTACAAACGGACAAATAGACCATTAAAAGACATTTTTATATATTTTAACATTAGTTAAATACATCAATTAAGTAATAATCATTAAAAGATATGATAGGAATATTAAGAAAAGGCCCTCCTGACTGAAACCGCCATCTTGTGGTTTGTTGTCTTTCCCATAGATTTCTCCTGATTTTCATAAACTTTATCTGGTAGAGCTGGATCCTCGAAGCATTTCATACAAAGGTATGTGGATGGTAGCATAGAGAGAACTAACTTAGTCAGAATACATCGGACACAAAATCTTTTCATGCACTTCATACAAATAGTTTGGTTGCCTTATGTTATCTTTTATTTTTTACTACACAAGGTTAGTCTAGATATAACATGCAGGAAGTTTTAAACAAATAATAATCATAAACAGGGTTAAAAGGCAGTAGTCAGAAAATAAAGTATAAACATAAAGTACCTGCACTCAACGCAAAGCTTTTTGCATTACTTTTTAAAGTGACATTATTATCAAATTAAAATCAGACAACATGAGCATTGTAAACTTTTTTTAGTCTCTGTATCTTCAAAGTACTTCAGTATGTATTTCCACAACTAAATTTTCTTTATTATTATTTGTGATGATGGATGAGTTTGCAGTTTTCAGCAACCCTGTAAGATAAATCATACATTTATTACAATTCATGAATGGCATCAGTTGCATTGCAAAGTTATACTGGTGATACATAATGTATTATTTGTATACTTACACATTTAGCTTTGCTTTCACCATCCATCATGCCAGGTTTAGATGTTTGTATAATTCACATTTTTTCTTTAAAAAACAAAAAAACAATATAAATATCTATAAATACAATTAATCATCAGTAAATATTGTATATCATATTAGTGTAGAATAGAACAGTAGAGGCTCAAATGTACATCATTTACAGTATTATTGAAAAGTTTGGGGTCCCTTTTCTAAAAAAAAAGATGTATCTAAAATGTATCATGTGACACTGAATACTGGAGTAATGATGCTGAAAATTCAGATTTGCCAAAATTAAACATTTTGAAATTTAATAAAATAGAAAACAGTTCTTTTAAATTGTAATAATATTTCACAACATTACTTTTTTACTGTAGTTTCATCAAATAAATGCAGCCTTAGTGAGCAAAATGATCCAAACTTATCAACGGTAGTGTATTCATTTTGGTATAATAAATCTACTAATCCAAAGTATTAATTAAATCAACAAAAAAAAATGAATGTTCAGATTGTTGACTGTTGTTAAGTCCGCACAAGTTTAAAATATCATTATGTACCAGTACCACACACAGACTAGTACCTCGTGCCACTCGAGTGTCTTTACAGGAAGAGCCAGATGACAGAGCGGACAGCTGCTTATCTTATTCAGGTCCATGTCAAGATTTTTGTCTCTCTTTGTCTTTTGCAATGATGAGAAGGAGAAATCTGCAGCCGTAGCGCCTGGAGCACTGGCATTTCCAGCTTCGAAATTTTCATCCGAGTCATCATCCGAATCGTCTGCATTCTGTGAAATCTGGTTGCAACTCAGCTAGTCAAAGGGAATAATAAAAGATTTGCTGCGTTAAAAAGAGATTTTCATAATCACTGTACATAAATACACGAAATATCTTGCATAAATATGAAATATATATTTATGTAATATCTTATTTATTTCCATATTTTACCTGGTGATCCTTCAGTTTGTCTGAGGAAATGTATGTCAGACAATTCTGACACTGCAACATGGTCGGCTCTGGAGATAACAGATATGCTAAATCAGTATTTTACAATCATAATACCCAGAACTTGGCGATTCTATACCTATAACAATGTTTAAAACTGATTGTGTCTTAATGAACAAACCGGCAGTGTCAGATGCATCATCTTCAGGGACAAGGTCCTCTGATGTTGTTGGAGTGGTAGTTGAGCAGATCTGAGCGTGATCAAGCTGGTCCACCAGTTTGACATACCGGCCACAGTCGGAGCAGAGCTCGGTCCGACTCCCACAGGACACTTTGTGCTCTTTCAGGTTGCTCAGAGGAAGCTCGAGCTGACAAAACTCACAGATCTGAGGCCTTTCGGAGCACTCGTCTTTCTGAAAGACAGAAACAAGAAAGGAAGTGAAAAAAAAAACAAAAAAACAAACACCCGGAGCTCATCAGCTTAAATAGGTGTAAGATGAAATATTCACCTCGTGGTCCAACAAATGCCTTCGCTCCATCTTTTTATTGCACATCTTACATTTTACCTGTGAGACATGATGAAAATGAGACCACCAACAGTATTTTAGAGGTTGGAGATTGCAATGATGGCTAAAAAGCAACACGAGTGGGAAACGTCAGTAGGAAAATGCAACAAAAATCTTGTTTTGTGTGTGTGACAAACAGGGCTAAGAGCTTGTAAAAAGGAGCATGGATCAGAATGTTAAGCCGTGTTGAGTGTTGCGGTTATGACCTGTGCGTGCTGTTCGGTTTTATGCTCCTCCAGCTGATCTCGAGGAATAGTGTCATTGCAGTCAGGGCATTTACACAGAAACCTCTTACAGTGTGGTTCATGGAGGTCATAGTTTGCCTTTGCCACCTCTTTATTGCTGCATAAAAAAACATTAATAGGGACTCTTTACAGGGTCTGGAAGATGTAAACATTGGGATTGTACATGTTTTCTTAACCCTAGAATGCACCAAAAAAACAAACAAACAAAAAAACAACAACAAAAGAATTAAACATTCAACCATATTGGAATGGTTTTCTTAAAGTAAATATCCTCACATTTCTCACAGATCATGTGGAAATTAAATTAGCTGACAAGGCAGAACATTTCACATAAGATTTTCACCTTTCTAAGCATAACTTTTAGGCAGAGTTTGCACATCTTAATTTGTTTGGACAGCTGTCCTTTCCTGTAGCTTTTCTCTACTCGTCTACTGCATCTTAAATCACATAGTGTTTGAGTATATTATTATTGACAAAAATGTATCCAAGAAATACTGTTTAATCATAGTTCCCCATAAGACCACCATATATTTCGTGAATGAATGAATCATTCTTTTGAGTCAGATGAATGAATCGGTTGATCAAACTAAAAAAAAAAAAAGGTCTGAATCATATGTCTGAATGAGGGTGTATGATTGATTTTTTTTTATATAAAATGCAGAATTTTGATTTAATTGTTTTAATGCTTTATAAATTAAAGTGTTTTTGTATCACTTTGTATCCCCTTCTTGTTATTTAAATACAAACAGAACGGATCTGAATGATTTGTTCGCGAATCAGAATAATCAGTTCAACACTGACTCAATGAACCAGTCACAGTTCACTAGAGGTTTAGAGTTGTAACTTAAATCGGCTAGTTTTCTCACATAAAGCTAACTATCATATAGCTTCATGAGATTTGAATGCGCATGAGTCATACTTTTGAATCTATGACAAGTAACGTTAGCATAGGTTTAGCGTTTGTGTTATTTTTTTTCATAGAACCAGTCACGTTGGATAAAGTTAACGTTACCTTTCCAAAATCCACATGTTGTGATCCACGGAAGAAAGAAACTCCTACGGTTTTAGAAGGACATGAGAGTGAGGGTGAGTTTTATGCCAGAATTTGTGGGTGAACTAACGTTAAGCTATAATTATATCAAGTTAATAGCTAACAGGCTAAATTGTTTAGGTCACAATAGCCTTAAGCTTAATAGTGTTACAATTATTCACTATAATCAATCCTGTTCAATTAATGAATGATTCAGAAAATTATACCAAAGCAAATGAATAGGTCGACTCTATGTTAGTTTTAATTAAAATTCACAATTTTATAGAACGTATTTACTGCCCTGTCAGCCATACCTGGCCTTCATGGAAATAGTTTCACTTTGTTAAATTAGGCCACAGTTATCAACACCATATAAAGAAAAGGTCATTATTGTTGTGTACTAAAGTAGAATATTTTTTTTTTTGTGTGTGTGTTTGTTTTTGTTTTTAATGCTGCTGTTGACAGAGATAAATTTGTCATGATGATATCGTCTAAAACTCGACGAATATGTCTGTTTGCATCGGCAATGAACATAACTAGATCTTAAATCTCTTATGCGTTATGTTTACAATACATTGTAAAACACTCACCAGTGAGTACACAGAATCAGTTCTTCAGCAGTGTCCATAGTTAGACTGGCTACTAGAGAGAGAGATGTCTAGTGCTGGTTGTCGATTTCACTTACTCTGAACCGAAAGTAGAACCGAAACTTAACAGGTGGCGTAAGTAACATCATTTCCCTGAAATGCTCTTGTTTTCTAACAGTAAGTTACAACATTCATATTGCCTTGCTGTGGTGAAAACCAGTCAACACTTCACTTGACATCCAATTGAAGCAACATGGTAGCCTCCTGTACAGTCTATGTTGCATTAGCCAAACACATTAAAGGATGGCTCATTACCATGGTTACATTAAAAGGTTAACCCCCCCAGAGCCCCAGAACCCACCTTTATCATGGATGGATGCACGTTGATGGACTTCAAAACTGAAAAGACCATTCACTGCCATTATAAAGCTATTTAAACTGTATCTATTCAGGGGTTGAATAATTTTGAGACTTCCAAAGTCATTAAAAGTTGCAATTTCAGTTGAATTTGCAGACGTACTTGTTGAGCTATTTCAATTACTTTTGTTTGATTTGTTGCAAACAGTTGAAAGTCTGTAAAGTTTGCCATTAAACATGATTTTCAATCAATAATTTACACAGAGGGGTATGTTTCATATGGCTATCCCTGAACAAGATATTTGAATGCGTTGTTTTGTTGTCATTTGTTGTTTTTAGCCAGCTTGTTTCAATGAGAAAGGAAGCAATAGATGTTACCCTTCCGAGTGAAGTATACGTAGTTTACTCATTTACAATGTGCATTAATATGGATCAGTTCATGGTGTTCATCTTTGTATCTTCTCTGGATGATTATTGCTCAACTCACATATACTATCACTTTAGTGAAACATTAGGAGTCTGACAGACTGCTGGATGGATGTCCCTTGTTGGCCCCATTAGCAGATCACTTATGTTGACTCTGTAGTTCAAGATTTTATTGAGCTGTTAGTTAAAAAAAAAAATGTGCTCAAAATTATTGAACAAGGCTTTTGTATTAAGGCCTCGGAGACATCAGCAGCTAATGGATGTTTGTCAGCAGAAACAGCACAGGAGTGGACAGCTGTGTCACGCCAGGGGAATCACAGTAATTACGGTATTGAGTTTCGCGTTTTCACTATCACCGCAGATGGGTGTGGACAGAGGACTTAAATTCCGCCTGCAATGTCTGATCAGAATTGTGATCAACATTAGAGGTGACACCCGGGTAATCTGGCCCGATGTTGCTTTACATAAACAAGCAAATTATTTTAGGGTAGGATTGTATGCTGCAGGCCTGTTTTTCTTGGATGTTTGTGTGTGTGTGCGCGCTTATATAATATTAAAGTTCACAAGTCCTTGCTGCACCGGTCAGACCAGCAGCACAGTTGTAAGCATTACAGGGTTGTTTTAGCATTAATTCAACATTTACAGAGAGTGGAGTTCAGCTCTCCTTTCCTTGGTGATTTATATTATCAGTTTCTGATCAGATTGCTTTTATGAGCAGATCGGGGACATCCAAAAAAGAATGAATGATAATGAAACTAAATATTGTTTTAAAGCATCGGAGACCAGTGTCACAACAATTTCACAATAAAGTGACCTTGGGATTTTTACTAAATGTATTAAGATACATTTTTATGCACCTTTATCACCATTAATTTATCCTATTTTAATATAATAATAATAATAATTATTATTATAAACTATTTTTATAGCACCTTTCATGCAAGAAATTCAGTTAATCAAAATAAATCCATTACAATAAGCACATTAATTGAATTGTATTCATTTACTATTATAATTTATACATTTTAATTGATAATATATAATTAAAGTAACATATTTATTATTTATTTATAATATGCATCAACATAATGCATTTTTATTTTAAAATTAATATTTACTTTTTAATTAATAATATATTAAATAAATATTATATTAAATATAATTTTAAAAGCTAAAGCCATTAAAAGCTAAAGTAAAAAGATATGCTTTCTTTTATAAATATTTTGTATTTTGTAATGTAAATTTTATAGTGTATTTAAGGTACAATATGTAGGATTTTTGCAGTAAAATACCCAAAAACCACTAGGCCTATGTTATAAAGTTTGTTTAGTTGATTATTTACAATAAACCTAATGTTTCCAACTATTTGTAAATTGTGAGAAAATTGCGATTTTAACCGAGGAAACGGCGGGACGTGTCAGCAAGAGTGAGGAGTCGCCAGTCAACGGCGTCATATCCGCGTTACCCTCGGTTTCTGCTAATACTGCCATAGTAACCATGGTGACAGACGTGGACAACTGGGTTATGCTTAACAAGACGCTCACGCTGTTGTTTTGTCCAAACATTTTGGACCATGGATGGACTTTGAGACATAAAGAGTACTAGAACGAAGATCAACATCTTTCGAGATACCGAGAGCTCCACATCCGCGACTAACTTCGACTTGACAGAGACGCGAGTGTTCCATTTGCTTTATTAGACAGGTGATTAAATGTACGTAAAACTAATCAATCTTATTTAGTTCAATATGATAAAATGTTATAATCTGTATGTTATTCTAATGTTGATCTAGCTTACTGTTAGTCTCATACAGCCAACAAACAACCTAACTAACGTTAACAACATTCAACACACTCAAATGCCGTTTAATAGTGTAACATTAACTGATAGAGGAAGTGAAACAGCTCTGCGTTACCTCTAGTTTAATTTGTCTAATAAACTGACCTGTGAGTAATTTATTAATCCAGCACTTGCGTGTATTTCGGTATATGAAATGTCCTTATTCCTTTATATCCGCGGGACTCGCGTTGCGTGTGGCGCTGGTATGTCTCTCATTAGCAATCACGCCCTGCTTCATACCACAGTCATGTTAAAAACATCACTGTATTCACTCATCCATAAACGATCCATCAGCTTGACGACAAGATTCATAATTCCGCTTTATGCTTTCATCAAAATACGCCTTCGTTATTTTAAGTGATTAGCGACCCCTGGTGGCCAAAAATTACATACTGTACGTTTAAATATATGGTATTATGGTATAATAGATAGCACACAATATATAGCCTATTTTATTGATTAAACAAACACTTTCTTTTTTGCTAACTTGTCTACAGCCCATCTTACATTCGGTTTGTTGGCATATACACTTGAATTAAACTACAAGCTGATGGATTTCTTTTCAGTTCAGAGGGAAGTCACACCTCTAGCTGGCTGTCAAACATAGCAGTGCCATATGCCCATTTTTAAATCCTACAAAATCTGGTCGTATTATTGCAGGGAAAAGAACAGGTTGATAAAATGTGAATCCTTATGTGAAATCATTATCGGCTTTATGCTATACATATGTTCATCCAACCAAACCTTATGGCAGAACTCCAAAGAACATTTCCAAAGAGGGTTACCAAGGCAACCCCAGAAAGTGAACCAATTAGAAGGCGCAATGGCTCTCAAACACTAAACTGCCAAGAGATTGAAGGAGATGGAGACAACAGCTCTAAACAAACTGACAAATGAAAGAACCAGGTAATGATCAACAGGCTCTTTTAGTGAAAGATTGCAGGGTGAGCGAGGATAAGGGTTGATTCGGTTTTCTTACCTAGGTTGTGACGTTTCTAGAAAACTCATTAGTTGTGGTTCATATTTATGACGCACTCGCACGTGAATCCAGATTATTGATGTTCCTCCAGTATGTGCAGATGAGGGTGTGTGTGTGTGGACATTGATCTGACTGGACCCCAGCGGTGGCTGACTGCATTGACCACATGCTGTTATAATGCTGGCCAGTGAGGCACATGTGTCTGCATGTGAAGAAACTACTGTGGAACATCTCCCTCTTTGAACAGATCCATGTTCTCATTGTATTGCATGGCTTACTGTGAGAACTTGAGCTCTGAACTGTTTGTTTCTTTTGCAGAAGATGCATTTACACAGACTGTTTGATGCTGCAGAGAGTCGACATCATTTTTTCTATTTTCCAAGTGTAACTAATCGCCCAACTCTTTATAGAAAAATACAGTAGATATATATGCGTGATATATACTACATTTCATATTTTATTTGCTTGATTGCACTGTAAAACAAAACAATTTTTAAGACTCATTTCAAGTTTAATGTAATTTAAGTTAAAATGACTTTAACATCCAAGTTGATACTTAAATTTTTTTAACAGTGTGCTTTTCGCAACATGTAAACTATTATCCAGCTGTAATCTGCTGAATGTGACTATTAAGATATTATAAACATTATAAACATCATGATGAAACAATATGTATTGTGAAAAACACTACATAAATAGATTTTTAAAAAGAAAATAGTTTAATACAGAAATTGCAAGTGGCAAAATAATATAAATATTAATTATAAATGTATAGCATATTCTGCCGTGACTGCATGGTTATGATGCTGCATGTTATTAATTCTTGGGATGCATAATATAATGGCACCATTATTTCTATTGCATATATAATATCGGCCGACATTGGATATTTCATTGTGCACAATCATTTAAAGTTAATCTTTAAAAACACTTATTTGCTAACAATATTAAATGTAATCTTTAGCCAATCTCAAAACGGTTAACCACATATTATATTATAATATATATATATATTATAATTTTGTAATACCTAAATTCACTTGTAGGTAGCATTTAAAATGATTGATTTAAATGTTTAGTGTCTTAAAGCTACAATATTTTTTTTTGTTCGCCGCTAGGGGTAGCTAACAATAAGGCGTAGGTTGATGACGCATGACTTGTCTTCATGCTGTAGGATCTATGAATGTTTATGCTTGAGTAATTTACTCATAGTAAATACATTGTGTTTTTTAACATGACTGTGGTATGAAGCAGGGCGTGATTGCTAATGAGAGAGAGATATCAGTGCCACACCTCAGTCAATTTGAGCCCATGAAACCAGGTAGACAAAAAATATGTTTAACTTAAGAGGTCTTTTATCCCAAATGCTGTTAAAATCCTCATCTCGGTAAGCAAATGATCATCCAAATGACTACAGTATGAAATGTGATTAATTTGTATCTATCTATTTAACTCATTTTTAGCATTTATTTTTCTATGAACTGTGCTCTGTGTGTTTTTTATGTCTTTGTTTTT